AATAACTTATTAACTAGCTTTAATCTTAGCGCGTAGTATCGACTTATTTACTTTTTAATATTTAAGATATACTTTTATAATTTTAAATCTTTTATTATTATAAAAAGGCCGGTAATCGTTATTTTAGTTTATATAATAAAAGATTTCGAAATTGTTAATATATAATTACTCAATTAGTAAATAAAATAATTTAAAATCCGGGTATTTATAAAACTATAATATAAAACGTTAATATATTTTTATATTTCCGAATTCGAATAGTATTTAATAGGTTTATTAAAAGGTCGTATAAAATAAAATATTTTTTATATTCTTATGTGTATATATAATATATTTATAAATTAAAAATTTTTATTTAGATTATAATATAATTATATTATTATTTAATATAGTCTTTTTAGCAAAAAGTACTTTTAATAAAAAAGGTAAAACTATAAGCTAACCGGGTAAATACACGGGTTAAGTATATTAATTGTAAAAAGTAATATAATTAAAAAATAATACGGAAAAGTAATATAGAAAAATAAAACGAATAATAAAATAAATATTATAATAAATATATTTTTATTATTATTTTTCTTAAGTAGAGGGACACGGCGAGCTTGTTTATATACACGGGGTCGCTTTAACACGTGACTAAATTACTAAGTAACTATAAGGAAATGTCACAGCTATTTTAATAATAATTATTATTTATAAATATCGTAGCCTTAACTTTTATTAATATAAACCTTATTACGACTAGCTAGTTATAATATGAAGCTATTTTTTTAATAAATACGATTATTTAAATAAAGCTTTAATAAAATTTAATATTAATCTACTATTTATTATATATTATAGTAAAAAATATAAAAAATATCAAATTATAAAATTAAATATAATATTATTTAATATAAATAATTTAATTAAATATTATAAAATTAAAAATATTAATAGAAAAGTTTTTATTATTTTTAAAACGAAATATATATAATTTATATATAATTTTTTTTAATAATATATAATTATTATATTTATATTAAAATTAAATTTATATAAAAGTTATATTTATTTATTAATTATTTATACTTATATATTAATTTTTTATATTTAATTCTTTAATTTTTATAAAATAAATATTGTTTTTGTATTTAATTTTATATAATTAAAATTTTATATCTAAATATAATGTTTTAAAATTATTAATAAATAATTTAAAAAAATTTAAGTTTTATATATAAGTTTTAATTTTAATTATAATAATAAATTTATATTTTAATATAAAATTTTAAAATATATAAAATAAAAAACTTTAAACATATATTTTATATTAATTAAAGTAATTAATTTTATAGAATAAATATTTATAAAATTTCTTTATAATAATTTAATAATATATTTAAAATAATTTATTATTTAAAGTAATTTAAAAAATTTTCAATAAACTTATTATATTTTTTTATTATAAAAAATAATAAAAATATATATTATATAGGGAATTAATATACCGGCGTCGCAAATTAATATACCGACGTCGCTTTTATACCGACGTCGCTATTCAATTTTCTAATTAATTTAAAAAAATATTATTAATATAATTAAATTTTATTAAATATTTATAAAATATCTTAACTTTTTTATTTTATTAATCCTTTTATTCTAAAGTTATATTATTAAGCCTCTAAGTTTAATTTATACTATTTCCCTTTAATAGCTTTTTTAATTAAAATTAAAAATATTTTATAAAGCTAATCTTAAAATAATACTTATATTAATAAACCTCCTTCTTTATAAAAACGACTATTAATTAATTACGGCCTCTTATTATTATTTAATTAATTACTATTATTTCTCTTTTTAAAAAGCAACCGCTTAAATATTAACTAATTTTATAAAATTAATAATTTTTAAAAATAACGTAAGTTTATTACTAAACTCTTAGCTAATATATTATAAAATATATAACTTTTTATAAATAATTATTTTAATATAAAATTTATATTATATTTTATTCGCTATTTTTTACGATGTTTTTTAAAATATAGCCCCTCTTTTTTTAATAAATAATCTTAATAAACTTCTTATTTTATAATAAAATAGTTTAATAATACTTTTTAGTTTATTTTATAAATTATTAAAATTAATTAATAATTAATAATAATACTCCTCTAATAATAAAAATATATCTATTAATAATAAAAAATATAAAGTTTTTAAATTAATTTACTATTTTATTTACTTTTATATTAATCCCTTTTTTAAAATAAAACGTTTTTTTAAACTATAACTTTTTATTATATTTTAAATAACCGATCCTTTTTTTTTTATAATTAAAATCCTAAACTTATTAATTCTTAATAATTTAAAATAAATTTACGATACTTTTTTTTAATTAAATTAATACTTTTATAAAAATTAATAAATTTAATATTATAAAACGGAATAAATATAAAATTTAAAACTAAATTATTCGATATACTTTTTAATATAATTAATTTAATAAGCCTAAAGTTATATAAAATATTAATATTTAATAATATAAGTTTTGTAAATACGGTTATAAATAATAAATTATTATTAAAGCTTAAAAAAAAAGTAAATAGTTTTTATATTATTATTTAAACCCTTAGTATAATTAATATAATTATAATTTTAATTTTAAAGTTTTTATATATTTTTTTATATTATAAGCTTATTTAAATAGTTTAAAATATTATTAAAATTATAAATTAATAAGTTAAAATTTAGGCTTACAATATATATATTATTATTTAAAAATAGTTTTTAAAATCTTTATTTATTTAATAAAATATTTATAACGTTAAGGCTTATATAAATTAAAAGAAATTAATTAAATATTTATTAATTATAACGTTAATTAAGCTATTTAATAAACAAAATACTTTATATATAATAAAATAAGTAAACAACGAGCTAAACCGCTTTATTAATTTTATTTTAATTTCTTTTTATTAGTTTTAAATATAAAAACGATTCTTTAAAATAATTAGTTTTAATAATATTTATAATATTAATTATTTTAAACTCCTTTTTTTTAAATTATTAAATAGATTTATTTTAAATTTATTTATAACGTTACGTTTAGCTTTATTAGTAATAATAAATTAAAAAGTTTTTAATTATTTTTAATAAATATTTATTAATTTTTAAATTAATATTTAGTTCGTTACTTTATTATTATTATTATAAATTGTAATAAATAAATAAAAATTATATTAAATAAATAGTTCTTAAATGTTTAATAATAACTTTATATTTATTATATTAATTTTAATATTATACTTAGCGCTAAATAAAAATAAATTAAAAAACGTAGTTATAATAATAATAATAATAAGTTTAATAATAAAGAATATTAATTATTAATATAAATAATAGCTATATTAAATAATAAAAATAAGGCCTATATTAATATATTTATTAATAAGCCTCTTTTTTATATATATTATAAGGTCTTTATAATATAAAAGTTTATTATTTTTATTAAAATTAAATACGTTTTTAAAAAAACCTAAACTAAACTTTATAAAAACTTTAATAATTAACGCTTAATCTTTTAATATTTTTATATAATATACTTATTTTTAAAAATATAATAAGCCCATTATTTTATTTAAAAATGTTAAAATTTTAATATTTATATTATTTTTAATACTAAATTAAATAATAATAATATTAAAAGTTATTTTTTAAACGGTTTTAATTAGTTATATCGATTTATTAATATTATATAAAATATAATTAATAATTAAAAAATACGTTTTAAATAAAATTATATTAAAAATAAAGTATTTATAAGTTAGGAATATATAAATACTTGTTTTAAATACTTAAGCGAATTTTTAATAATATTCTTTTTAAAATATTTTATATTAATTAAAAAGTAATACCGTTTAATAAAAAGCTATTCTTAGCCTTTTTTAAAAAATATAATTTAAATTATATTATTTTAATTAAATTAAATGTTCTATATTATTATAAAATCTATTTTAAAATAATAAATTTAATTATTTTCAATAAATAAAAAGTTTATTTTTAATAATATTTTTAAAAACCGTTTTTTAAAAATTTATGTCAGCGGATTTTTAATTTTAAAATTATTATATCTTTTTATAATAAATTAAAAAATATAATATAACTTATTTTATTATAACTAACTTTATTTAAAAAAGGTTAACTAATTAATTAAACCCGTATTATTTATAATAATTAAAATGTAAATAATAAATAATAAGGTCGCTTATTTAAAAATAAAAATAAATCGATATTAATTAAATTTATATAAAAAATATATTAATTAAATTAAAGCTAAATATTAAGCTTATTTTAATAATAAATAAAAAGCTAATTTAATATTTTTAATAAAAAAAGATAATAAAAGATTATATAAATAAACGGCTAATATAACTTAATATTTAAAAAAACGGAATGAGTAAAAAATAATTTATAATAATAATAAATCTTTATAATTACGTTATAAAAAATAATTAAATAATAAGCTTTTTTAAAAATTATATAATACTTATTTAAAATTTATAAAATTATAATATAAATAAGCTATAATATATATTTTTAAAAATTTTAAGTAAAAGCTTAGGTTAAAAAAAAATAAAAAAAATTATATTAATATAATTATTTTTATTACTTTTATAAAAAAACATCGTTTTTTTTTAAATTAATTAAAAAGCTAAATAGCGACGCCGGTATAAAAGCGACGTCGGTATATTAATTTATAACGTCGGTATATTAATTCCTATTATATAATATTTATTTTATTTTTTATAATTTTTTTTAAAATATTTTATAATTTTTTAATTTTTTATAATTAGTATATTTAATTTATATATTTACTCGGTTAGTTTATAGTCTTACCCTTTTTGTTAGAGGTGCCCTCTACTATAGAGACTGTGTTAATTATGACCCACCGGAAAGTAAGAAAACAAAGCCGTGTTCTAGGCAAACTGGGTTCTATTTTCACATCTCCTTCAAAGTAGAGTATGATGGCAGTTCTACAGGTTGCTATGCGGAGGAGTGCCACCATCGGCCTGAAATCACACCGGGCATTATCCACGCAAAGCAGGTTGACCCTATCTTACGACCTACATGAGCCCAGCAAGCGAGCTGTTGGCGGGTCCTCCAACCCTATAATTTTTCTTCACGGGCTTTTCGGATCCAAGAAGAATAACAGGAGTATTAGCAAGCGAGTTTAGTCATCGCTGCGTAGCTCCAATATGGCATGCTGACCGTTACGTAGAGTACTCGCTCGTGATTTGGGCAGACCCGTGTATGCGCTGGTGAGGTTCTGATTGATTGCATCCGTCAGCACTCAACAGGAGTTTTCACTGATCTTTTAACCAGGATCTACGCAACCATGGCGAATCGCCCCATGCAGCGCAGCACGACTATGTGCACATGGCGGACGATGTTGCCGATTTCATGAATCAGCATGGACTGATAATGCCGACGGTCATCGGCCACTCGATGTGAGTCTTATCCGTCCGACGGCGTTTCGCTGCCGTATGCTAAGTGAGATGAACTTCTCAGGGGAGCCAAAGCCGCTATGACCCTCGCTTTGAAATCCCCCGAGCTTGTGCAAGATATCGTGGCGGTTGATAATGCGCCTGTCGACGCTGTCTTGGAGGGCTCATTTAGCAAGTACATCCAGGGCCTGAAGAGAATTGAAGCAGCCAATATCACGAAGCAGGCCGAGGCAGACGAGATTCTTAAGGATTACGAGGAAGTGAGAATACTCAATTCACCAACAGATGGTTCACTTGACCAAACCCGCTGACGATGCTCAGTCTCTTCCTATCCGCCAGTTCCTTCTGGGTAACCTCTACCGGCCCGATGCTGGTAAGCCACAGCAAAAATTCCGGGTGCCTCTCGACATCATCAGCCGCTCCTTGATTCACATGGGCGACTTCCCGTTCAAGGACGCGACCAAGGCTCGATTCGAAAGACCTGCTCTGTTTGTCCGAGGAATTAAGAGCAAGTATGTGCCCGATGATGTTTTACCTACGATCGGGCAATTCTTCCCCAAGTTTCGACTGGCAGATTTAGATGCCGGGCACTGGTGCATTTCGGAGAAACCAGAGGAGTTCCGCCAAGGTATGTCATGCACTTTATTCCGGAACTTTGATCAGAAGACTGAGAACCCTTCGGCAGCGGTTGTTGAGTTTCTGAAGAATCAAGAGTAGAATATTCGACAAGGGAGACTGGCGTAATTGTTGTACCAATACATCATAAATCATTTAGTCCAAATGACCAACACACTCATTGACGGCGTCTAAGACGTCGATATCACGACCGAGGCCACGTAGATTGGCTATAGACATAATCCCACGAGGGACTTCCTGTCTATAATGGCACTGGGGATTGGCCAGACGGCCCTGATAGATCGTGCTCTTTCACAAGCACAGAAACAGGTTGAAAATGAATCAAGTCCAAACAGCTAGGCCACCATCCGACTCTGATCTATCAGACAAAATCTTCAATGAAGGCAAGCAGGTATTTTCTTTCTTAGATACCTTGGACCGTCTAGAGCTGTGGGGCCCAGGTAACTATATCACGGTGAGAGTCTACGCATGGGTCAACGATGAGCCTCGACTGAAAAGGAACATGGATTGCCACGCGCGTGCGTTTGTATACACACATTGCTCACTCTCACACACGCATATGTCCACACGACACCTCTTCTCCCTCCCCTCCCGTTGCTCCCGTACGTGCAGGCACGATTCGAAAGTGTTGTGGCGTACATGTTGCACAATGTCTTTGAAGAATTGACCATAACCATTTTGAGGTACCCTTGACCCGCAGCCGCCTTATGCTACGCCATGTGCAACGACCTAAAACAATGCCGGATTTATTTCCCGACCGGTAGAGCCAGAGTCCCCTTCTGCCGAAGAATCTATCATGCAGGGCCTGATTCCTTTAAACCTCCTCCAGAACGCGCTCCTTGAACTCCCGCTCAACCTTTTGTCCCTGGTCATCAGTGCCAGATTCGCCGTGAAGACCCATCAGTGCACCCAGGTCGAACTTGGGCTGCTTGAGGAGCTTGACCTTGCGGATGTGGACCTAAGATGACTTGTCAGTACCGATTGGTCACCACAGACATGGGGTGAGGGATAGACCGCTCTTACGTTCTGCAGAGGGTAGATGCCCTGAGTAGACTTCTCGATCTCACGGCCGATGACCTCGGGGATGAGCTTGGAGGTCAGCTGGGTGAGAGTGCAGGTAGAAGCCTCGCGCTGGATGATCTCAGTCATCTTGCGGCGGATGGCACGAATTTGCGAAGAGGCAGCGTATGTCGTCTTCTTGATCTGGTTGGGGCGGCGCTTGGTGAAAGCAATGGCGAAGAGGCGGAGAAGGTAGTCGTCGGTGGTCTTGACGGTGACGTTGGCCTCAATGAGAGTCTGCCACTTGCGGACGAGGGAGCGGAGCTTGTCGGAGGTGAAGTCGAGGCCGTGGAAGTTGGTCAGGCAGTTCTTGCCCTGGACCTCGTCGACGCGGAGCTTGACCTTGCGGAAAGCGTGGTCCTCGTCCTTCTGGAGATCAGCCAAGGAGACCTCCAGGATGCGGCCCTTCAAGGCATCGTTGGCATTCTTGAGACCGGTGGTTCTGTTGACAAGGGTCTTGCCGACACTAAAGAGGCAGACAGTCAGCACCCCAATCCAAATGGCTGAAATCCGTCTCGCACTCGACTGTCGAATGATGATCTGAGTTAGGGTTTGGGTGAAAACTCACTCGCGGACGTTGAAAGGCGCGGGAGCCTGCAAAGCAAAGTCAGCTTGGCACAGTGCATCTTTTGGGTTGACGAATGCAATTCTAACGATTTCCGTTATTGGGGACCTCATACCTTGATCTGGTACCAGTCCTTGCGAGAGAAAGGGTCCACGGTCTTCTTCTTGAGACCCTTCTTGCCCTTGGACAATCTCTTGTTCCTAAGTGGGAGCGCTAGTCAGCTGCTGTATACGGACTTCGCCTGCGAAATGACGATTGCAGTCGACAGGACGTCGTCGTGAATTCGACCAGAGTAGTGGTGATGCTCACTTTCCCACAGCCATTTTGGGCGGCTGTTAATTGTCTGGCGGATGAACGTTGAGTAGTTGAAAGGTTTGGAGGGGTGGTGGTTTCGCTGGTGATAAAATTCAGGTTCCGAGAATGTGTGGCTCGAAATTCTTAGCGAGTGTGCCCCGTTCGAATTATGTAATCCAAACCATTTCGTCGGGGGCACTGTGCCAGCCCCTGCTCCGACCGAATCAGGGCAAGCAGTGAATAGGGTCCGTACTTCTCTGGACAGTAATCTGTTATCCAAGCCGATGTCTAGCACTGTAAATCACGTGATGCACAATTTCACATTTTTATGAGGTAGGAGCCAGCCCCAAGTGTCCCACTTCCGAGACGTCAGTGTCTCTGCAACCTTTAAGTGGATGTTCCTGATTGGTCATGTCTCCCAGGCCCCTTTGGCCAGTGACATGTCATCACAAAAACCCCAGTCAAGAAGGCACCGCACAGAGCAGTATGCCCCGCCCTGGAGCAAGGTGGCACCGTGGCAGTAGTGTATCTCCACATCGTGGTGATCGGTGAACGGGTCTGCCGCCTGAACGGAAATTGTATTCCGTCAATCCTAAAGTTGAACAAAGTAGGTTCACGCTACCATCCGACCATTCATTCCTACGTGCCCTTCTAATTCTGTTCAGATTTGCGTATGTACGGGTATCATATTTTGAATGACCTTATGAAACTAGATATCCTCGGAGATCACACAACGCCATAGAATATTGTTGCGTACCTTTCTCGCGAGAAAGATACGCACCCCCCAAATGATTCCAAATCCACAACCTTAACGCCCTGACGCGAGAATCATGCCCGAGCCTCATTCAATGTCGCCACTTCGAAATCGACCATTCCGTTCCGTGTTCTGGTCTTGTTCAGATACTCTTGCGTTGTCGCCTCTCTCCCTCCTTTCCTCCTTGCTCGACTACCAGTCGAGAGTAACACGATTTGCCCGTGTCTGAAACTCCGCCTTTCCCCTCATTACACGGGACCTTCATTGTGTGCCGAATTTTCCGACCACGGTAGCTAGCCTCTGTCGGTGTCGGCGTGGGGAAGCCCTTCGTTGTCGACTTCTCTCAGCCTGATCCGACTCATACGTCCCCTTCTTTCTCATCACTGCGTCGTTCTCCATCCCAAGCATCAAAGTTAGGAAAGCTGAAATAGCCGTTCGAGTCTGGCCACACTGGTATCAGTAAGTTGATCGCCGCATGCTGGTATTGTGGCAGTCTACGAACAAGACAGATGCTCTCGGTGGCCCTGGACTCGATTCGTTGTCGGAATTGTCATGTCTTCGGCATTGGGCGACGACGCTATATGAGGGGCGGCCCCCGACGTTGGCGAGTACTCGGGAGGATGGCCCGAGCATACGGCCACGCGGCTGAGGAGCTCGGTGGCCCTTTGCGACGATTGTGGGCTCGAAATCGCGCCGCGACTGGCATTTGAGGTCGTCGTGATGGTAGGCTCCGTCGCGCTGGCTCTCAGCAGCCTTGGCCGGCGTCGCCGATCCGGCCGAGGTGATGACTCTCTCCTCCGCACGCCGTCCGCGTCTCGCAGGTCCCGAGGAACGGCGGCCATTGCTTCGAATAGATGTACTGGTATGGGTCTGGGCGAGGTCGATAAAGGTACGATGGCGGTCGTTGTTGCAAAAATGCAACGGCTGTGGGATGACGGGAAATCATGATTGCTGTGTTGCACCCCTCCTCAAGTGGGCGTTGCGCACGTTAACAACAGGCCATCGAGTCCGGCTACTCGGCGGGAACGTCGGTCCTTGGGGATGGGCGAGCCCGGTCGACGGCTTTCCGCTGACAGTACCAGGCTTGTCATCATTGGGCCACATGGCCGGTGCCTGATGGGGAGCCGGCTCCCAACTATGTGTCTGGTGTTGTATGGGTCGGTGAGCATCTGTTTGGGCACTTATACACAAAGGTCATGCATGGCCGGCGTCACGCATGCAGCTAATGTGGGGTTTTCAACCGCTTCGTTAACCAGTTCCCGTGAGTTACCGCTCGGTCGAATCCAATCAAGGCCGCCCACGGCCATGGTACTGCTAGACCGGTCAAGAGCATACACAGCACGAGCCGATCTGTACTGCACAGCACTTCCGTAGGTAATATATCCGTAGAGAAATCTGCACCGCAACATCCCTGGTTAACCCACAGACAAGTTGGGTTGGGTCTACAGATATCCCGGACCGGTTTCTTCTTACCCAGGTGGTGCAATACCCAGGATCGATCGTCGCATTTATATATTGATAGACTCTCTGTGTTGATGTGTGGTATGGGTCTGCGATACAGAATATTTGGCCCCTCAGTTATGGCAGCAGGCGCAGAGGTACATTTGATCTGCTCCGTCGCTCCGGAGGGGGGCCAGGCGGGATTTGTTCTCGACTACACGCGTTGCTTTTTCTACGTTCTCATACGTGCGGCTTGCCCTCAGTGGCTCCCAGTTGGCCTCATCATCCATCGTCCTGGCTCTCCGCCTCAAGGGCTGGGGCTGGCTGCCTTCACTGCTTTTACTCGGCCCCCCAAGACCGACCAACTTTGCAAGACCTAATGGTCGAGACTGTGAAGTGGGAATTTTGTCAGTCATGCATGACGCCCCAATTCCGGGGAAAGCAGTGAGGCTTACTCTTCCCACATCCTACCCTGCACAGCTCTCAACTCTTCTTCTGTCATGCGCTTTCCGGCGGTAAAGTAACCTAAAGGACATTATCAACATCTGACGGTAGGCCGAATTACTCCTTTTCACTTGCATACCTGCGGTAATCTTTGCATCAATCTCGACACGAGAGTCTGCGGGAATCCATTCGTCGGGGAGCTCAACACGCTCGTGGATAGGAATTCTAAAGGACTCGTCAACAAAGATCCAATCAGCACATGGAATGACATCATCCTTGCCCTTGTCCTACGATGGCATCGTGTTTCATGCTGTTGCGATCCAAGTCAGCGTGAAAGCCTTTTGGCGAGGAAGAGCTACTGACTTGCTCATGCTCAGCATCCTGTCAATCTTGCGGATTCCGAGCCAGTGCAAAATATCAGGCATGAGCGCCTGGAAGCGCATGTCCTTCACTCCCGCAATGTTCTCTGTTCTTTTGAAGTAGTCCGATGCTCGGTCTTCGCCGCGCTTACGGGCGTTGTACACAACTGTGTGGTCAATCAGCAGCCTGCAATGGAATATCGCAATCTCCGCCGCCCCCGAGTACTCGTCACGCGAGCTAGAAAAGAATACAGAAATGGCATATAGTCACGTACGGTACTAAAACGATGTCATCAACGCATGTCAATCAGTTTTGGAACTCATTTATGCCTACCTTGGTCACTTCGCCGAGAGCTCTGCCCTCCTTACGGAAGTAAATGACGACACCACTGCCGCCATTCTGGGCCTCTTTGACTGCCTCTTCGATGCCGAAGATGAGATAAGGGCGGCATGTGCAGATGTCGGAACCAAACACATCGCTACCATTACACTAATGGCGGTTAACGGCGAAATTGACGTAGCAGTAAGACCACAAACCTCATCGTGGATGCGCAAAGCGAGTCTCACAGACTCGTCAGACATCTTGGCCGGATCGCCGAAGCAGTATACCGTGAGGCCGCCTACATAATATCCATGATTGGTTCGCTCTTTCCTCGGACAGGGAGGATACCCTTACCTATAGGAGGCAGGAACACTTTGATATCGTTGCGAGTAATCAACTGTGATTAAGAGTCAGCGTGCGTGTCTACAGGGCAACAGGGGTTACCAACTTCAGGGTAGCTGCCACCAGTGTGTTCAAAGAGAGACCTTCGCAAGGCCCCCTCGTCTGGATGCAATTAGTTGCTGAAATATTCTCAAGGATGCGTAGCTTTACGAACCGATGCCGAATCTTTCAGCCACGCCAGGGAGATACCAAACCTGGGCGAGGGTTGTCAGCAGATTACATAGTACAACGGGAGCTGAAAAGTTGACATACCGGTTCAACGGCGAACTTAGTTACAGCCAGCTCTCCGAGCTCGTTCAGGCAGACCTTACCGTCAGGGACACTGGCCCATTAGGTATTGGAACACATTTCGCTGGCCATGGCTTCACTCACAGTCTTCCACTCTTGACGCTCTCCTCCAGCTCGGGAAGCTGTGACATGTTAGACGACATAATATCACTCCGGCAGGCGCAACTGTACCTTCATGTGTGCTTTGGTAATGGCGATGGTTGGGCGAATGTCCACTATCGCGATTTAGTCCATAATTTGGTGTTGGAGAAATTGCAGGCCCGGCTACATCACTGACCATTGTGCTTCTCAATAGTGTCCTTGAAGAGCCAGGGAGACAGGTGGCCCCAAGGGTCCATGGCGACAATCTTCTTGGGATCGCCCCATTGAGGAAAGGGGCCAATTTTGGCAGCCGGCTCCGTGTTGGTGAAGTCGGGCCTGGAACCAATGAGCCTACACGCTGAGGTTGACGATACAAGTGGCTTACCTATGCTCGAGATTCAGTTGTTTGCTCGCGACAGCTAGGGCATAGTAGATGGAGTATGAACCACCGCTGCGATTCATCTGTCAGCTCTTCCATCTCACGACGCTCAAATCATTTCACAGGTGACTCACTGGGCTGAAAACATGTGTCAGTTCAAAACGAATCAGCATACGGGTGATGGTAAGCACTGACCTCCGACAGCTTAATAACAGACAATAACGTCAGCTGATACTACCTTTTTCAAACATCACAAACGAGGACCGGGTCTACAGACCGTTGCGTCTTCCAATGGTGGTCGATGACCGAGAAACAACAACTGGACCACGACAATGGGGGTCAGACTCGCCCCATTTCATAGGAAGTGGGTTGATGCCAATTTGCTTTGGGTATGTCCTGGGATGGCAGTATTAGTCAAGAACATGCGACGACGACAGACATTATTGAAGAGCAGAGACTGGAAACATACGTTAGGATGATGCGGGAGGTCAGACCGGATCGCTGACTGGGCGAGGAGGGTACAGCTGGGGCCTGCAAGGTCAAATCGGACGAAGAGCTCTTGGCAGAATCACCAACAGCATCGGAAGGCTCGGCGGTTTGAGATCTCTCAGAGATCTCACCGAGAGATGTATTCGGACCAAGTGTGGCGACATCAGCCTCAACAGGCAGCTGCTGATATCGTTGATTCAAGGAGTCAACAGCGGCTACAAGATCGGACTGAGTCTGCTGAATGAATTTCAAGGAATTTATAACTTCAGCCAACGAGCCGTCGCTGGGAGTATTGTTGCTCATGGCGATTAGTTTCTAGTTGTCACACCACAACAGGACAACGCAGAGACAGAAGTCTTGCGAGGAGGTCGAAGGCAGCGAACGTGCAAGCCGATCCCCACGTCCTTGAAGGTGCGCTTTGTTGAGGGAGAAACCGTGGAGCAGCTGAGTATGATGCTTCACGGGAGAGCAGGAGTCCCGGAGGATCGAGACGAGAAAATGAGGGAGGAGGGAGAAAGGGATGAAGAGACGGAAGATATGAACAAGAGGTTGGACAAGATGACGTTTAAGAGGAGGCGAGTCCGAGTAAGACAAAGCCAGATAAAGTATAAGGTAAGGTGGTGTAGTGAGAGATGGGGACAGCTACCTCTCGAGACGCAAGACACCAAATGACAAGTCGGTGACCACCGATGGCTGGTCCACTCAGGGCCGAGGATGAGAGAAGAAAGGGATGACTATATCGAAGCCAGCAGTGAAGGCTATGTACTAAACAGGGTGAGGAAAGATAGAGATGCACCGAGGAAAGACGGTCGACGCCCCGAGGGAGATCTCGTGACCCCATCGGAAGGCGCCGCGCGTGCACCCTGAGCTGGCCGGGGACGGGGGTTGGGGGTGCTCCCCATGGTGAGGTACCTCATCTCACCTTACCTACCTTGTTGAAGTCCGGTTGCGTTGTGTGCAGATGTACCTACCTTACCTACCTACCCTACCTACCCAAGCTTGCCAATAATGTATGTGCCAACCTACCTAACTGTCCCCGACCTGCACCCGCACCCGCACCCGCACCTGTATCCCCTCGAGCAACAGAAACACTTATATAATAGATCCCTAGCTAGGCGTAATTCACCGGCTGAAGGTACAAGTGGACTCAACAGATATGGTATTAAAAGCGTAGCTTATGTGCTCCGCGATGCTGTTGATAAGGAATAGGCTCTTGTGGAGACCGTGATAAAGAAGCGCTTTAGGTGTGGACCGATGGCGATGCGGTGATGCGGCGGCGTCCAGTCGTCGGGATGCGGGGCCGTCCGCTAGACCACCTGGCAGGAATCAGTGGAGGGAGGGGAAAGACTGCCTCATGCGGCTTCCAGCACCCAAGATAAGGCAACCTGAGATTGCCTTACCTAACTAAGGAACCTCAAGAAAGCACAATGGCGTCTAATGCAAGCAACTGGACGTCACTGTTGCGAGATATAAGGAAAGGTGATACGTACAGTACAGCGGGTGTGCCTTACCTTAAAGGCCTTCCAGCTCTAGCGCCTCAACCCCTCACTCACTCGTGTACTTGAGGATCTTGCCTACCTTACTTACCTTACCACGTGTGGTACATGCTCAATGGGCAAATTTGTGAGGTGCCGGACTCCGATCTGGTTTCCCTCGAAATGCAAAAGCGGGGTAAGGCAATGAGATGCCTTATCGATTGCACGCTTACCTAAGGCGACACCCCACCTCAAAAAGAGCCTGGAAGTTCTCTGCTCAGTGATGCCCACTTAGATACCTAGGAACAGTACCCAAGATAAGGTACGGATACCGAGGTGCCCAAGGTACCTACCCTAAGTTAGGTACCTACCTTACTGTAGGTAAGGTAGAAGAATATTTGGGTCCACCGCCACTAGGGAAAACCTGCGGCGGACACCTGCACACCTTACTACCACGCCCACGCCTTGGCCAAAGACCAACTAAGGTAGCCGTAAAACACACAAAGTTCAGGGCCTTGTCCGTTGCCTGAACGTCACCGTCGCGCATTCCACCGTTGTCCCCGTCGCATTTGCTAGGCTCCTGACCTCACTCACCTCCCGCCATGGAATAACCTCCCCCAAGCCTCCCATCCTAATTGTTTTGGTTTACTTCTGTCTAACCCCGCAATCAATCTGCGCTTACGACCGCGCATAACTACAGACTCCGCCGCCAACCATCCGCCGACACTTTCCCTCGACCGTTCTCCCCTCTACATTCTACGCGCTGGTCGCGCCCCTCATCAACGGTACTCGACACTATGGGGAAGCGCAAAAGTTCGAGCAAACCTCAAGGACCGAAGAAGGTTCGTCTACCTGAGGAAGGGATTGTGCCTTGGCATGCAGGCTGATGCGTGTTGGTGGTACGCTGGCGACGCAATCACTGACAACGACTCACAGAGAGAGGTTCTCCCCTCCAAGTTCACATGCCTCTTCTGCAACCACGAAGACTCCGTCGCCGTAAAGCTGGATAAGAAAGCGGGTGTTGGTTCGTTGGACTGCAGAGTGTGCGGCCAGATGTTCCAGTGTAGTATCAATTGTAAGACTCTTCCTTTATTATCATTTACCCGCCATTGCTAATCCTCTGACAGACCTCTCTGCCGCTGTAGATGTATACGGCGAGTGGGTAGATGCTGCTGGTAAGTCTATTGCTTTAAACTCTAGCCGCTCTTACAAGCATCACAGAGTATGCATCTGACACACATTCGCAGATGCCGTGGCCAAGGAAGCAGGACCGGTCGGTGGGAGTCATAACAAGACCTCGAGCGTTCGTCGCGCACCCCCAAGCCGGCCAGTAGACGATGACGATGGCGACAGGAGATACGGGGGTGAGGGTATCGATGTGGATGACGATGAATACTAGATGACCTAGCAACCTTTTGGAGGTACATGGGGAGAGGCATTGTGAGATCCAGCCCAAGGTCCGAAGCGCAGACGGCCGGGAACAACAGTGCGAGAAGGAAAATAAGCCGAAAACCAAGGCTATGGGAGTTCAACGTTTAGGACAAACGGCCGCAATTAGACAGTGTAGAACCTGTCCCCAAAATCGCCGAGGCCGGGGATGATGTAGCTGTGGCAGCCAATTAGTATAACACAGACTTCTTGGCATCGCAAGGTGCGGACTTACTTCTTCTCGTCTAAACCCTATAGCAGAATGATTATCAGGCTGTGTGATCTAAGATGGACTGGGGCCGTTTTGCACATACCTGATCGACGAATGCAGTGACAACTCTCAGTTTGGGGAACTTGGCGGTGAAGTTCTGTATACCCTCTGGGCTTGCAATGAGGTTCAGGAACAAAATACGGTCCTCAGGAACACCGCGCGCCTTGAGAACCTGGACTGCCATGATGGCCGATCCGCCAGTAGCAAACATGGGATCCAGAAGAAGGACCCAGCGCTGGGCAATATCCTCTGGTAACTTGTCGTAAAATAACTTTGGCTGGGCTGTCTCCTCATCACGCTGGATCAAAATCTTGCCGATTCTGACAGAGCGGCAGCAGTCGCGTAAACCTTGCTCCATTGCCTCCCCAGCACGCATGATGGAGACACCGCAAATCTTGCCCTGGAACATGAGGCCAGAATAAGTCCGGCCAATGGGCGTTGTCACGTCATGCTCAACGGTTGGCAGATGGTTCAGCCCTTCCTCCACAAGCAGCCGAATGATGCGATTGGAGTAGAAAATGAAGTCGCCGCGCTCCGTGTTCTTGTCTCGGATGATGCTGCCGGGAATGAGTAAGTTAACAGTACTATTTCAAGAGGTGTAATACTGGTTGAGTCTCCTCGGCGTGGCATTGGTGCCTCGTAATCTACCAGGTGCTATGAACGGCAGGGCAGTACTAGTATAGAAGCGAAAGTAAGGAGCTTACGTGAGAAGGGCAATAAGCTGAGGCGTCTGGGACAGGACAACCACATTGTCTAGCTTAATCTCGGTCGACACAGTGGCCGTGGGCTTCTGACTTTCCGACCGATACAACGGGCCGACACACTGTGTAGGCCCGCTGCCGCTGGCGGATTTTGATTCTTGACTTGCCATTTGAGTAAGGCTAGTCTGGCTGCTGATTTGAATTTGCTCAAGGGAAAAGCTGGTGACGGTAAGGCAAAGAGGAAGAAAGGGAATTGGCAACGGGGTAGGAGGATAGCAATGTATGGGATAGCGGGGAGTAAGTTTCTCCAAAGACGGCTTGGCTTGGATGTCGAGCGTGGAAGGTAGAGGCCAGGTGCTGAGCTCCGGGGGTCCAGAGACCTGAAAAGTAAAGAGATGGAAATAGGGCAGCGGCCGGAGAGCTCCTGATGGATCGATATAAGGCAAGACCAGGTCTCCGCGGGAAGCCACAAGGGCTTAACGGGGTGAATGGACAGATTATGCCACGAGACACAATGGAGCTCGCCGTATCCCGTTGCTTGGGTCAGTTGCCTATGCCTTGTGTAGAGGAAGGTAACGAATTGGCCCTACGAGATATGTCTCGACTTGTGGGTAGATAATAATAGGCAGGTAACCATACCTGCGCGTCGGAGACACTGTGGCCAAGGTAGGTAATGTACCTAGTTATTACCAGGTATGTGTGAAGCCAGGTAAGGGTGGGTGCCGCTCACAAGGTACAGGCTACCTTGCAGAGAGCGAGAGATAAGGGTCATGCGGGGCTTGCTTGTGTTCCAACAGTGAGCCCGAGTCATCGGGGGGGTTCAACCCCGCCTAACTTACCTTCACTAGGTACCTAAGGTACGCTGGGTACCTTGCCTCGGGATTAAACTGCTGCACCTTAAGGTACCTGCTATGTAAGGCAAGAGGTGTTATGCAGATAAAGTACCTCAATGAAAGTCAACCTGGAAGTCTTGGATGCCGATAAGCAACCGTACTCGATAAGGTAACCGGGGATACGCTCTTCCCATATCGACCTTATGGATGATCAAGTCACGTAAGTTAGGTAGGTGCCCTCCCTCGTTACAGCCGTAAGGTACCTTACCTAAGGTGGTGCAACCCCATCAAGGAGTGAGTGCCTTAGCCACCGTCCGGTCGGGAGTTGCAAAAAGACTCCGTCCGGCGGGAACGACGCTGGGCGGCACGGCAGCCATAGCACGGCAGGAGACGTATGCCCGGGCGGAGGACAAATAGACTGAGACTTGATCAGTACTTACCTTCCTGCTTCTCGCGACGCCACACTCTCCCCTGATTCTTCCCGTTATCCAAGTGCGTCTATAACCTCAAGAGCCCCTGCGTTGCCTGTCACAAAGAAGCAATGCAATCATCGAAACATCTCACTGTTGGGAATTGACTTTGCCAAATGCCTCTTCTCTTGTGATTGCGCAAGATTGCCTTGCAAAGTCTACCCATTTCTGCTGTTTCCTTCTTCCACGATGCTTGTCGGCTGTTACCTTGACTAAGGCAGAGTCGCAAGCTAGCAGGACGTGCCTCGCCTGAAGAAGTCTCCGCGCATCACCTCACCTACATCCCTTCTCGATCCTTTCAAAAACAACCACTACCCCACGCCGTTCCCAACAGGCGCTCGCGTCGCTGCGCCCATTCAAGCACTGGACTTGTTGTTCCGCCCATCATTTTCCGTTTTCAGTCCAGTCATCACCACGCCTCGCTTACGAACAGCCTCACTTATTTAGAAACCTGCAAAGCGGTGGCTATAAACGTGTCTACGTTGGCTGCGACACAATATGGCCACCAGAGACGGGCCGAGCGTTCCGCGCAAGAAGTCAACAACCTACGGCAAGACATCGCGAAAACGACCCATACACGCTTTTCTTGACCTGTCCAATGCTTCGCGACGCGCCGGCGACGATGCCACGCAAACAACCGAAGCCTCCTCAGCGCCTGCCGACCAGCTCTACGACCTCTACGACCCACCCTCCGATGACCCCTTGCGCCTTCCGTTGCCTCGGCACGTTGAGCCTTTCTCTGATGCGACGGCAACCCAGCCGGATGGGTCGAATAAACCGAAGAAGAGGAAGGTGTCTGTAGCGCCTGTGGGCAAAGCCGAGCGCAAGATCGATGTCAAAACACCCATCATCGCTTCACCAGCGGGGCTGCCTTCCCGCACCCGCCGAGCGAAATCGCCCTTCAATATTAACACATCAAAGTCTCTGCGCGCCATCAAACAGGACTCACTACCCGGTGGTCTTGAGAAACCTAAGATACAGAAACAAGCCGGGTCACGCTCGATCGCTTCTCATCCCCGTGCCGAGGTTGAGGTTTCTCGCAGGACCGAGACCAAATTGCAAATTCGACCATCATCCTCGCAACCTTCCGAAGAGCTGTTCCGGGCAAACTCAAGCACCACAGTTACGAAACCACCAGCCACCAAACCCAAAGTGCTGTCCGAGCCGAAGCGTATCCGTCTTATTGACCAGCTAGCAGCGCAAACAGAAGATTCCGACTCCGACTCCGAATTATCAGATTCTTCGGAGCCGTCTCGAACAGCGGCGAGCAATGTTTCTCCATCTACTCCAATGAAGCCTGTTGATATGACAACGAAACCATCAATGAGGCCCAAAGTGCTTTCAAGCACCAGGAAGCTGAGATCGACATACGGAGAGCAAAGGACGCTGAAGGCAGATGAGTCGGGAGGAGACAGCCTGGGCAGCCAAATAGGCATCGACGGCAGCCAGCATGATCTGAGTCCGCCCCCGACGATGTCGAAGCTTGCGTTATTCACTTTCGAAGAAGAGGAGATTGAACAAGATGGTTCTGCCAAAGGCGGTGGCATCATCGACATCCACGCGCTAAGGCAAGCGGGTGCCAATCATCGATTTGCAGACAGCATGGCCGATTTGCTTGACAGAGTCGGCACGCCTCAGCCGCTAAGATCGCAGCCAGCCCGTTCGAGGCGCAATGCCCTGTTAGAGCTGGCGAGCAAGCTACGTGATAAGACGTTTGTTCGCCAGTTTCGCGAGCAGGGTGCGAAGGATGCCTTATTTCACGCTCTCGGACAAGAAGAGGACTTTGTCAGCGGCTTCGTCCTCTTGTCCGTTGTTCTGGTTCTCTTCACGTCATATTCGGTACCCCATCTCGTCCCACAGCTACAGACCGAAGGTATTGCGCAGCTAGCCTCGAGGATGTTCACACTCGACGAAGATATTGTCAGTATTGCGGCGTACCAGAAATCTAATCTATCTAGGAACGCACAATCATCACTTTCTGCTTTGAAATCTACTATTCAGCACCTCGATTTATGGAAGGGCTCGCCGCCTGTCACGCTGTCGCCGAGAACGGTTGCTTTGAAAGCCATATCCGTACTATGCAAGGATGGTGACAGTACCGCAACACGACATATCCTCTCTGGCTTAACAGATCAACTCTTCGGCTTCGCCGAGACGGGCTGGGAACAATGCAGAGCGCATGGGATTGAGGGAACAGACGGCGGCCTAGCGCTTTCTCTCCTAGAAGGCTACTCGATTGCAGCCATGGAATCCGACGCCAGCTCTCGATGGACAAAGCGATATCTTCCTATCCTCGCAGATATTCTGACAACAGCCATGGCACGACCTATGCAGCAGTTCGGCAATTTCGAGTCGACAGCGTTGAAATTAGCGCTAAATACAACGAACAACAATCCCGTCGCTGCAAGCGCCTTTAGTCAGGGAGATCTCTTCCGCGAGCTAGCAGAGGCTAGCGTTGCGGGCTTTGGGCTCTTGGAGCAGTCTATCCGCAAGGGGGCCTTTTCCAAGGATGTCTACGAGACACTCATGCTGCTGCTTGGCGTCATGATCAATACCTCAGAGCACTGTCCTTCAGCCCGGCAGTCCATAGACGCCTGGCAGGGGCAGGGCGGCTCATCCTTGGACAGGCTGATAGGAGTCTACCTGGAGAACCGCGAGTCGGTGGGCACAGTGAGTGATCAGGGTCATGACGATAGACACTACACAGAATCAGACTGACAAGTTTGCGCAGGCCGATTCGGTTGAGAAAACCTCAGTCGCTGTAGTCCACGGCTACTTAGCGATACTATTGGGCTACTTGTCGCTGGGTAAGCAAGTACGCCAGCGGCTGGAGGAAAAGAGTCACGGCAGTGGCACCAAGTATTTGCTCGATTCCATCCAAGAGTTCATGGCTTTGCACCAGAAGCTAGACACGGATGAGTTGACGACAAGCTTGCAAAACCTTGTCAATGAGCTCAGGCAGAGACACAGGGCCTCAAGTCGGTAGCGGCGTGAAAACGACACATGCTGAAGGGGTCGAAGGGCAAAATGGCTTCAGAGCCAATAGAGGCGGCACCATCAGTCATGGTGCCGCTGTCGCTGGCAACGTCCTTTGAAGAAGAGAGGGTGGCACTCCAGCCCAGGAGTTTTGACCGTCACAATAAATGTGATAGACGGGCACTTTGATGAAGGCCGGCGGATAGGCAGAGATTCCGGTATTATGGGCTGCGAGGAACTAGACACTTCCGTCGCCCGTCATTGGGTATTTTATGAAATATTCGAATCACATCAACTTTCCATTGGATTGCAAGCAGGGTTGAGTACAACTGGATTCAGATCATCTTGCTCCCAGTGGGCGCTCGGTACGATCAGAGCACGTCTAATATTGATCCCTTTAGTCACTTCTGTAAGGTAGCTGCGAGACAATCGACCACGACGGACTGAGGCATGGAATTTTTTTTTTGGTCGCAGAGTTCGACACGCGAGGTGCTATCTTGAATCCAGACTTGATGTGTCGTAGGACATTAGAGGCAAGCATGTTTCTATCCGAAAAAGAAAATGCGGCCTACCTAAGGCTAGACCTGAGCACAGGCCAATGTTCCAGTGCTAGCATTTAGCGGAAGCCCGTCTCTCTCAGATGTGTGCATGTGCGGCGGCGTGCCTGCGTCATATCCCGCTCTCTATGGTACCTTACCTAGTCCCAGTGCCCACCCATTCTGTGTCTCCCCACTGAGCTCCATGCGTGCACACGCCGTTCCGCCGCTCCATACCGTCCCCCCATTTCTGCAATCATTACCTTACCGTCCGCATTGCACTTCCTCAGACCTCACTTCATCCTCCTCACTATACTTCTACGTTGCAACGCCAAGAAGGATACAGCGCTTTCAACTGCTCTAATCTGTCTGCTACGACAAAAATTCTCTCCTGGCCCTCTTATTGTTACTGCGACACTAGATATACTGTAGAGTTTAAGAGCCTACCAAAAAGGCACCTTCTCTGCGTACCTGGACCGCAAGGTAAAGGCACGGCGGCAACGGGCGAGCCTTCTTTCTAAACCTTTCTTCTCTCGTCTTGCTATCCACGAGCTTTCTTCAATCAAGCACGAGTGCGGGCAGTCTCCCCCCCCCGCAGAGAGCCCAGGCGACAGAACCTCTCTTTTCTTCGCCCTATCTCCCACTTTTCAGTTACCTAAATGCCGGCGCCCAAGAATCGAAAGGTGGCCATTGTTGGCAGTCGTTCTGTCGGTCAGTCTGCTCCCCTACGCTTGCTTGACACTACTCCCAAGCCGTTCATCTTTTTGAATCAAGAGTGACATCTGTCTGGCTTGGGTGAATAGCTCAATTCGAACAATATCTTAACTGCGTACAGGCAAATCATCATTGGCAGTCCAATTCGTAGACGGTCACTTCGTTGACAGCTATTACCCCACCATCGAGAACACCTTTAGCAAAACTATTCGCCACAAGGGCCAGGAATTTGCGACAGAAATTGTCGACACTGCAGGACAAGTATGTCATCCCCAAATTACTCCCCAGCGACGACTAGACCAGACGGCGAGATGTGTACGAGAATGAGAGCCGAAAGAGCTGTACATGGGGTCAGAGGACCGAGGCTGGACAGATGCCCGGCTGACAGGCAACGAAAACAAAAAACAGGATGAATACAGTATTTTGAACTCGAAACATTTCATCGGCATCCATGGCTATATGCTGGTCTATTCGGTTTCATCTTTGCCGTCCTTTGAGATGGTGCAAGTAATCCGCGAGAAGATTCTGAATCACTTGGTAATCAATCCTGCGGAATGAGCAAGCAAGAGCAAAGTTACTGACTGGAATCTTGACAGGGTACCGATTCAGTCCCCATAGTCATCGTCGGCAATAAGAGCGATCTCCGTCCCGAGCAACGACAGGTCAGCGCTGAGGAAGGCAAGAGAGTAGCAGAGAAGATACAATGCGGATGGACCGAAGCCAGTGCGCGATACAACGAGAATGTCGGAAAGGCCTTTGATATTTTGATAGCTGAGATTGAGAAGGCCCAAAATCCGGGCGAGACAGCAGAGGGCGGTAAATGCATTCTTATGTAGAAATTCGCCGAGATTGCTACATCAATTACAGATACCTATAGTCAAATCCAGATCAGTTTATAAAGGTTAGCCGACCGGCGCAGGCATTCTGAAATGGTGACTTGGTAGCAAGCGGTGGCCCAGTGGTGTCTTGTACGCACGGCGATCTGAGAAGTCAATTGGAGTGCACGGAGACATTGGGCAGTGAATGACTCGGAAATGGGATGCTCTCCGGCGCGCGGATACAAAGTCATTAAGGCACAAATACTGCAAAATCCTAATGATCTCTGAGCCAAGCCCTCTCCCCACGGAAGACGTGGATATAATGCATATATATGATTTGGGTTGCGGGGGAAAAGAAGTTTGAAAAAAAGTGCTGGAGCTTTGGGCAGTGAGCATGCTTTACATACCTTACCTTAGGTAATGGAGGTAAGGTACCATAGCCTGTAGGTCCCAGGGACGGATGGAATCGACCCGACGCACACGTGCTTGGTGGGCGCAAATGGATCCTGCCTTACCTTGAGCAGTTTGGTTGCGTTGCGGGACCATTCGCGCTGCCCCTGATGTTGAGGGGACAGCCCAATCCGACACACCATCGTTCCCTTCTGTATCTTATCCTCCAGAAGCCTCTTTCCGGCCGTCTCATGAGAACCTAGAAAGCAATAAAGACGGGAAACTTCCGTCTTCTTTGCATGCCTGGTCGTTGGCATACTGACACGCACCCCCCAACTTAGGCACCTCTGGGAACCCTGCACTGGAAATCCCCGCCATCTGCCTCATTGGTGCAACACCTCGAGTCAAATGTCGAGCGCTTAACAACAAAACAAAGCTTTGAGGCAAACAAGCCTTGGCTGAACACTCATTGCTGATCAAGCAAGGTGTGCTTTTTCACAGATCTAACAGGTGTTTTCATGCCTTGCATTGCGCTTACCTTACGTTGCCGTCATTTCTCTTGCCTTCTTCCAGCTTCACATCATACAACACCCTGCTTCCGACCCCATTATTTAGCCGGCCAACCTGCTCCTCATCTTCGGCTGAGGGCTGTTACTATTGAAAAGAGCATGATCTGTCCCTTTTGTGGAAAGGCTGGCGGAGAAGAGTACGAGATGTTGCTGGTAAGTCTTAATCTCCAAAGTCTCTCCGGTAAGCTGATTGCAACCCAGCATATGGAGACTTTTCACCCAGATGAAGACAATTCTCACTCTTCGCCACCCACTACACGGGCACCGCGAGAGCGGTATGTCGAGTGTCCAATCGAGGGTTGCGGTGAAACCATTTCCCTGGCCGAGATTGACTACCACATGGACCTTCACCTGGAAGAAGACCGCCCAGTGGCTGAAAACCCAAATACTCAGGCCGTTATTCAATCTCAGGTCCCTAATACGACTACTGTGGCTGCCGCCTCCAGCAGTCACCGCGAATTCGCTGCCGAAAGTCAGAAAGCAGCCATTGAGCAATGGGGAAAATTGCTTTCAATGCCAGCCAATTCGAAAGGCAAGGAAGGAGAAAAACGACTCGGAGTACGAATTTCCCTATCGACACTTGGACCCAGAATTCCAACTGATTCTTCTTAGAAAGCAGAACTAGGAAAATATGCACATGAACAACAGATGCCAGATTGGCTCGTGTCTCTCCTCCACAAAGGCGGCGAAGTCAAGAGTGATGGCGAGTTCTCTGGTCGTTGGATAGTCGAGCGACACTGACATAGCTAGGTGTGATTTCTGTTCTCGAGCAGCTTCTGAGCCAGAGCAAGTCTACCGAATATGCCTTCTTATGCGACCCGGCCGTCCAGCATGTATCAAAGCTCAAGAAAGAAGGTACCAAGGTCCCAGCGAGTTATTCGGAGAAACTCGTGCTCATTGAAATCTAGGAGGATTTTGCGGCTACCGCAATATTCAAATGATGATCTCTTACATTATTGGCGCTAATGCCCGTGGCACGGAACATTTCAGGGGTCGGCTACCTACCATATTCGAGATCCAGGAACTCATCGAGAGGGCCTGGGACCTCGGCATCAACTCCCAGGGTCGCATCGAAACTGGTGGCATCAAAGGGACTCGCAAGTACATTGGTACTCCGGAGGTAAGATAGCAGTCTCTAGTGACGCCAAAACTCAACCTAACTCGTTGGGCCCCTAGGCCCAGGCACTATTCGTTGGTCTTCAAATCCCGTGGGTGTATTAAACCTTCAGCTTTCCAGGAGCAAATGGTTGACACTGAGGCAGATGCACCGCACAGGGATTCAGAGACCATGAACCTGGAAGCTCTGAGGCGAAGCTGATGATGGCCGTCGAGCAGTATTTCAAGGAGGGGACGCATAGCCAAGGCTCTAAAGTGACTTGCACATCGCTGCCACCTATATACTTCCAGCATGCTGGTAAGTCTTTTTCAAAGTCACCTGCGTCACAGTCTGCTAAACGGGTGGATCGCGTCTAGGCCATTCATTGACCATTGTTGGCTTTGAGAAACAAAAACATGGCCCTGCTAATCTGCTTGTCTTTGACCCTGTCTTTCGCGATCCACCCGCACTTGCCCGACTTATCGGCCAAACCTTCAAGCACAAATCGGCAGATGAATCTCTTAAACCTTATCGCCGGGGCGCTAAGTACCTCCGACGATATCGCGAGTTCGAAATCCTCAGGTAGGCCGTGAGCACAGAAATCGGCTTTGAACCAGACTAGGCCTGACCCATTTCGCAGACTTGATAACCGAACTCCTGCGCTTTTGACCGCGCACAGTAGCTCTTGATGTTGAAACCAGCATAGAAGCTGCTAAGCTGAGAAATGCTATTTGTACACAGCTCATTGATGTTGGTCACTCAGCTCGCTGTTGAGCGAACCAGTCCTGCAGCTTCGCAAGAGCACGGCCGCGATGGGATATCTTATTTTTCGCCGCCTTATCCATCTCGGCGTAGCTTGATTACTCATTAGCGAGGGAATCATGGGCCAAACACTGCACAATGGGCTTACGTCTGACCATCATACTCGAAAATAGCATCCCATCCTTGGCGTGGTTAGCAATCATCCGCATAGAGGCCTGCCTAGAAGCTTATGAGAGTCATACTTACCGAAGTCATCTGGGCCTCGAGGCGGCACGATCTTGCCCTGGTTCTAATGTTGGCATAATCCAGGCACAGCAATGTTAATGGCTTACTCTGGTCCGTCCCTGGAAAAGGAGAGGCTCGCGTCCAGGACCCGGTGAGTAGGCAAATGTGCACACAGCATCAGCAGATTTATCCTTATAAGCGACTAGTAGATTGTTGAGACCCTGGTGGCCGATGGATTCCATGAACCATTTTCTTGGTGGGGGTGGTCAGTAACCGAAAGTGTTATCCGAAGGACAGACAGTAAGAGACACTGGGCCCAACATAACCTACATATACGGGCCAGGAAGATCGCCGAGAGCCTTGAAGCAGAGGCAAGTGTCTTCGACCAGAACAGGTCCCTGGATCTGAGAGAAGAAATGAACCAATCAATATACCATGAATTGCACATTATATGTCCAAAGATCCAGCAACTCACAGTCTCGGCGGCCTTGCGGCACTTGGCTAGGGTGACTTCTTCGACTGTGCCTTGGACTTCCTCCAGATCGACAGCGTGGCTTTGTACCGTGATTGCAGGCTCCAGGATGGCCTTGACCTCCCGCAGCTTGTTGGCGTTGCCAGTAATGAATTTGACCACCGGCGGCGTAGACATGACGAGGAAAGATGCGAGGCTGTAGACCTGGGTCGGGTAATGAGTGCTGGTTGAAGGGTAAGGTATGCCCATAAACTGCCAGCTGGATTCGGCAACTTACTCGTTACGGTACTTGTGTTATGTATGTAAGAATGTCATCATATCTCCGTGTTTCAATATTGCAAGAGGATTACCCGCCTCTGTTGCATTATCCGAGCTTCTCACATCATTTACCTGCATGTACCTTTGTATATGATTGTTCGACGTTGCTGGCATAGAAAAGACATGGGCGTGATTAGACCCACTTACGAGACGTGAGAAACGCTGCGAAGTAAAATCTTCAACGGTTTTTTGATGGGTGAAACTGACCACATCTAGAATCTTCTTGTGTACGAAACTGTGTATGCACCTCGCTTGCCCCTCCAGTGTCATAGAAATGTGTGACGGCAAAGTGCAATGAAGAAGTTCATTTTACTCCTCTTGTCAACCAACCCCCCCCCCCCCCCCCCCCCAACCAAAACCCCCCCCCCCACCCGCACACCCCCCCCCCACACCTCTGCCTGTACCACTTTCTAGTCCCCTCCCCCTCCCCCTCCCCCCCCCCCCCCCCCCCCCACCCCCCCCCCCCCCCCCCCCCCCAAAAAAAAAAACAGCCTCGCAAGAAGACCAAGCTCATGGTCAAATTGTTGACTCATCGTCATTCGTCCTAGTCCATCCTATCATAACGAAAAGTCCTTCTTCCATTGCTCAAGCCAGGCCTCGACCCTCGAAATGTTCACCTCCATCTCGTCAGCCGTATTACTCGTAAGCTCGACGACTATTTCCTCGTCAAAAGCCTCCCTGGCCTCTTGAAGTAGGACCTCCATGATTTCCGAGTCTAGATTCTCCTGAAGCTTGGCCTCGGGATATTTCCTGCGTAAAGGAAATCCTGCCGTGTTAGCCTTCGTCGTCTTTCCCGGCGACTCTCTCTCTCCCTCTCTCTCTGTGCCGCTGAGGGGAACAAGAGGAGGGAAGGGGGGAGAAGGAGAAGCAGGAGGGAAAGGAGGAAGAAAGCAAAGCTTCATAGCCTTGCTTACCTTGCTGATAGACGGTCATAGAGCGTGGTCGAATCCACACGCAGCACAACGACGAGGTCGATCCAACTCTTGGGGAATAAGTCGCAGGCGTGCCAGTCAATAATATAGCCTCCCTCTTGAATGTCGCCCTCAATTGCATCAAGTAACTGAATCCCACATTCGTAAGTATAGCGAATATCCAAGTAATTGATCTGATGAGTGCCTCTAATCGCGGAGGAAGACTCCAAACTTCGCAACAGGCCAGAGTAGGACGACAGACCTTGTCCTCATCAACGATCCAGCTCTGAAAATCGGCATCCCAGCCCTCGTGGCACTCCCGGTCTTTGACAACTTGGTTGACCGAAAGGTGCTTGAGACCTGTCCGCCTGGCGAGCTCTTCGCAATGCGTCGTTTTGCCCACGCCCGGCGTACCAGTGACGATGATGTTTGGTGACGTTCTCATTTTTGAATAATTCTGTTTTAACGTCAATTACGGCTGGAAGTAGAACCCTCCAGACGTCACTTAGGATCTTGCGGTTTCCAGGCTGAATATAGCTATAACAAGGGCCGGATGAGAGTGGGAGAGAAAGATAGAGTGAGAAGCAGGGTGGGAAAAGCTTCGCTAATTGCATTGCATTGCATGTAAGTGAGTCCAAAGAGGGCCACTTTTTTGGCATGATGCGCTACCTAAGGTAATCTCAGCGCTTTGACGATAGGTAGGGTTGGTGGGATTGTCACGGTCACGTGCTAGGGGTGCCCTCTCGCACCTAAACCTCGGAGCTTGCAGTCGGTGAATAGTCCGCGCTGGCAAATGCCTCATTCGAAGTGCCAAAGAGCTTACGAGTTCGAATCATTCGAGGTCAAGGTGAAAGGCATTCGACATTGGTAAAGAGTCTTGAAAGGATTCGGCACTCTGCTATTTCAAGGCGCTGTTGATTTCGACCATCGTCTCATTTCATAAGCTACATGAGTAGTTTTTTTTTTACAGGAATGGAGATCATGTGAATATTACTTTTACAAAGGCCAAGCCGCCGTTTCCATAAATTTCTGAACGTGAATAGGTTGGGCGGCTCTTTCGTGCAAAGTTCTCTTACTCCCCCGGCCTTTCCGCCTTGACTCAATCACTTAATCAGCGATATCCACGATTACGCCGAACGCCTTCACAACTGTTGCTTCTTTCTACATTATCCATGCGAGAAACCTGACGCAATAAATCCCCAGATCTAGCTCCTAAACAGTAGCTAATACAGACATCGCCGCCCATTCCTGGGCCACTGTTCACTTCACAGGCATCATCATTTCCTGAGCGGCCAAACTTGGATAGAGACCAGTGACCAAAACAATGGTGAAACACTCTACAGGGCAGGCTCTATTGCCTGGCCTGGCTACTACTCGAGACAGACATGGTTATCTTCCAGTACCACTTGGCTGCATAAGGTTATGCGGCCACATCTTCCTCGTCAACCTCGGCAAGGTCACCATTGGGCTCAAAGTCGTCCTCAGGATCGTACTCGAGCTTCTCTTGCTGGGCAATCGCTTGAGCGGACACGATCTCAGCGAGACGTTTCAATCGCGGGGTTTGAAGCCCTAGAAATGCTTTGTTAGCAAGGTTGAATCTGGCACGACCTTTGATGTAGTCCACATACATGAAGGAGTGTAAGTCTCTAGAGCCGTGATGACCCTAGGTTCGGCAATCTCGTAAGGGCCACTGTCGTCCATGTCGACAGCTTGGAGCAGCAAGACATCGCTCTTTTCCGTAACCCTGGATGCAACAGCCTTCATGATCTCGCCGTTGATGGGCTGCTCGTAGTCTGCGACCAAGTACTGGTTCAGAAGCTTTTGGATCTGATTAGGTGACAGCCTGATGAGGAACATCATATCAGCAACGTTTACGTAACCCTGTCGTGCGTCATTGCTGATTAGACTTACATCCAGCAGATATCTTGAATGATTTCAATGTCATTCAGGGTCGCCTTCTTCAACTGAAGGAGCTTCGTTGCTTGCTATAAAGGGAGTCAGCCTAAAATATCTGGATCCAGCCTTGGACGATGAACACGTACCATCAAGTGCTCTAGCTGGAGGGTGCCTTCAGGCATGTCGTGACTCTTGCACCACTCCTCAATACGAGTAATGTTGTAGTTGATCTGTAGACCACGCTTCCAAGAGAGGAAGTTGCGTCTCATCAGGAGGTCGTTGAAGGCGGTGACGCCAACGAGACGAAGCAGCTCAGTGATGGTCTGCGTAATGATAGAGTCCTCTAGATAGTAGGCCTTCATGGCGCGAAACACACTATTGAGTAGGCTAAGCAAGTTGTCCATGCTATAGGCGGGAGTCGAGTTGGACTGCAGAAGTTTGCCCAAGAAACGGCTACTCTCGTTGGTGACGAAGCCGGGAAGCGATTGAGACTCGATGATGGCGGGGATGATCATCTTGTGAAGCTTTTTCTTCAGGACCTTCATCCAGGTGTGGTAGATGTTGAACTCCAAACTCTCCAAGTCGTGCTTGACGATTTCCAACAGACGGTCATACTCATAATTATCCGTCTTCTGCGCCTCGTACCAGTCCTCGGCAAGGAATACGAACGAGAGCATCTCATGCACGTTGGAGAGCCAGAAGGCTCCCGGGTTGATGGCCTCATCGCCGTCATGCTGCATGACTTCCTGCTGAATTGACTGCATAACATTGGCAAGGAAGCGCTCTGACTCTTTGACGAAACCGTTGTTCCACATCTCCGAGGTAACCAAGTTGATGAGGTACGAGGGGAAAAGAACCTCTTTGTCAGACGGTGGCGGGTTCGTGTTTGGAGAGGGGATCTTCAAATTGCGTATGAGACCCATGGTGACCTCCTCGTTAAGACCATCTTCGTCAGCCAAGAGCGTCTCGAGCTCGAGCTCGATGTTGTCGACGCCAGGCATGAAACCTGTGCCCTGCAGGTTCTGCCTGTGGGCAGTGCTGGTGATGGCCATCGAGACAGGACGGGGGTTATAAGCAGCACTGAAGCGGTCCACTGCAGTGCTGGGTTCGGCACCGGCACTCCTCCTCTTCGGTTTTTTGGAGGACACGAGGTTGATGAGGCCAGGCGCGGCCGATGGCTGGGATTGAACAGCGCCATTGGCGAGCTCGCCATTGGTCGGGGCAAGCCTTCTCGCCAACTCCAATTGATCTTGCAACTCGGCGAGCTGTTGGCGCAGGGAAAGCTTCTCGCTCTCGATCTGTGCGCTCTGCTGGCGAACAGTGTCTAGCTCTGTGCTCGTAGAGCGCAGAGATTCTCTTAGCTCCCGCTCCTCCTCCTGCATCCTCTTGATATTGGACGTTGATTCCTCGAAGCTCTGCTGCAGCTTCTTCATCTCGTCCTCCATTGCCTGCAGTCTAGCAACCGCAATGCTACCCTGGTTTGCCTCAGTCTGGAGCTCCTTCGTTCGGGCTTCTAAGGCATTGTGACGATTCTTCCAAGCCTTGATTTGGCCCTCATAGTTCTCTACCTGTGATGATAAGTTCTTGTTCTGTGCCTTCATGGTGCCGAGAGATTGTGTCAACTCGACGACTTTGTTCTCGAGCTTGTACGAGATCTGCTTCAGATCACGGGCTTCCTCCCGAGTCTTTTTGTAATCTCGGCGGGCGAGTTTGCCGCGCCACAGGCTCTGGATGAGAGTAACCTTCTTCCTGTATTGCTTCCAAGCCAAGACCTGTCGTCGAGATCGCCATACGCGCTGAATGAGCATAGCCGCGTTACCTACGCGGGTCTCCAAGATTTCTTTTCGTCGAAGGTAACCTTTGGCCGCCGCTTGCGCCAGGACGACATCGTTCCTGATGCGTATGTACTCCTTTCTTTGCCGTTGGCCACGCCAAACCCGCTGTATTGTTGTTGCTGCTTTGACAGTGCGGAGCTCCTGGACTTGCTTCCGGGCGTTGTAGGCTCGCACTGCGGACTGAAAAGTCACGATGGCTTTGCGAGCCTCAAGGTAGCGACGGCGGTAGAACTTGGCCCGGAGGTTCTTCTGGATGAGAATGGCGCAGTCGTTGAGACGATTGGTGCGTAGGTTCTCGAGGAAGGCGAGCATACCGGCACGGAAAAAGATTTTGGTAAGGCCCAGTTGATACTTGTCGGAACCTTTGCCAGAGCTGATGCCAAGCGCCTTGGTAAGGATCGCGTTGGCCATTTCCCGGATCTCCGACGCCCACAGGTCAGAATTGATAAGCATGTAGTAGCGCAGAGCAAATTCCTCGTATGTCCATCGAGTAGGATAACCAGCGCAACTTATGCGGACAGTCTCGAGGACACCACAAGCCCGCAACTGACTAAGTACCATAGGGCCTTCGAACTTCCACGCCTCCTTCGCCTCGTTGGGTTTGATACAGCGAATGTAATGAACATCTGTGTTGTTGATAGTGTTCATGAGCTCAATCAGTGAAGAACGGAAAATACCCCCCAGCGTCGGCTTTCTGTTGACAGCCACGCCGATCTTCCTACCAGCGGCTGGCTTCACTGAGCTTGATGAAGCGGAAGCGACATCTTTTTCACGCACGGCAGAAGCCGCTTCTAAAACATCGCGGAGGAACTTATTCGTTGAGGCACGGAGAACCGCCATATGTTCGTCAGGTACGGTGTCGCGGTTCTTCTCGATGAAACCCTCAGACTCATAGGTAACATCCACGGCGTAATGGCATACGGTGAAAGCAGACTTGCCGAATCTAGGCTTCTTGTAGAACTTATGCTTATCAGTGCCGTAATTGTGATGCAGTTTTGTGACAAACTGTTCGTCAGAGCCCATGGGGAGACGGGACTCCTCGTCTAGCAACGACAGGATACCGAGCTTGCCTTCGATGAGATCGATGGCTGGTTGATTGTCGGAGAATTCGATGAAAGTCCAGTCGATCTTCTCCCTCAGATATTCCTCTTGCTCCAGCTTAAATACGTGTTGATTGAATTCTTGCTGCAGCTTCTCGTTGGCGTAATTGATGCAGAACTGTTCGAAAGAGTTCTTGGCAAAGTGTTCGAAACCATAAATATCAAGCACACCAATGAAGGAGATGACGCGGTTCAAGACTTCTTCGGTTGCCAAACTGTGGTTGATGATATCGACGAGCCAATCAAACAGGCTGGAGTAGATGAACTTGGCTACCGAGTCACGGACGACGATGGCTTGAGCCTGCGTCAAGTTTGACGTGATCTTCTCGCCTCTCGTGACCAACTGCTTCTTGACAATCCACTTGGCGAACTCGGTTCCGTTGACACCCAGAATCGATGAAGCCAGCTCGAGCGACGGCTCTGTCGGCGCGAGGACACTATCGTTGCGCGACGCTCCAATCTTGATGTTTCCCAGGTGTAGCAAACCAGAAAGAAGCTTGAAAATCTCAGACTGCTGGGTGTCAGTGACCCCAATTGTCCGTAGAGACGCCTTCGTCGCCTCGAATTCGGCTTTGTCGTCAACACCATCGATCGTGGGGCAGTTGCCCTGATTAAGGTACTCAAACTCTTCAATAGGCAGCAGATGCAGATCCTGACGCTCCTTGTCTGAGGCACCAGCGACAAGCTGGTAGAAAATATGGTAGTTGCGCTCCTTCAAAGGTTGGAAAACGAGTCTGGACCGCTCAAGGAGGTAGGTGCGAATCTTGGCGCCAATGATATTGGTCTTGTCGTCGAACATGATCTCGATATATTTGCCGAATCGTGACGAGTTATCGTTTCGCGTCGTCTTTGCGTTTCCAAAAGCCTCCATGATGGGATTCGTAGCCAAGATCTGCTCTTCCGTTTCGCTCATAGCTTCGGCTCCCTTCTTGGACCGTGTTCCCGGATTGTCGGGGGATTCTCTGGTTGCAAAGTATCGCATAATGTACTTGGCGCTTACAGTTTTCCCAGCACCAGACTCTCCTGACACGACAACGGTCTGGTTCTTTCCGCTCCGCACCATGTCACTGCAACACGTTAGCAAATACTGTGATCATGATACAACGCGATGGCAGGTCAGCGTACATGAAAGCCTCTTCTGCAATGGCGAACAAATGCGGCGCTTGTGTTGCTCTCTGCTTGCCGGCGTAGACCTGGACCATGCCCGGGACGTAGAGTGAGTCGACTCTCGCGAAAGGGTTCGCCGCGATTAGGACAATTCCACTGTATGTGTAAATTTCCTTCTGTGCGTATCGGAGACGAATGGCTTGCAAGACTAGGGCCAAGTAGAGTCAGTAATCAAAGCGGCAGAGGTATCCATTCATGACAAGAAACTGTACCTGCAGGCTCGTTGAGATGAGACAAATTCGTCAGGTCATCGCTGGCCTCGAGCATGGTCGGGTTCATCAGGGGGGGCAGGGATGAATCGCCTTTCTGTAGGGCCTCGGCGGTGACCTCGACCGTCTTCTCCTATTTGGTCGTCAACAAGTGTTCGCATGAATTGCAGGCAGACCCAGCCAAGCCATCAGAGGGACCATACCTCGCCATTGTCAAGTTTGAAGACAAGCTTAATCTTGGAGCCATCTTCGATCTTGTTGATGACCTCAGACGCAACCCAACCCTCCGTGGCATCGGGCTGCCACGCCCGCGTTCCGACATCGTAGTTCTCAGACATTGTGACAACTTCCAGAGTGCTTGATCGACTTGGTACCCGAGAGATGGCGACGGAAGAGAACTAGTATTCCCGAGAAGAATGGCGGATGGGATTCGGTAGGTCTAGGGGTGGGAGCTCGGAGCAACTCGTGAGATTCATGGGCAAGCGAGTGGTCAGGAGTGGCAGGAGAGATTGGATGTGGTAACTGCCAGAGGCGAATATCGTTGCCTACGTTGTGTGTCGGGTTCGCTGCTATTATCGTCTCCGTGGTTGTCGTCGTCGTCGGCTTCGTCTTGGTCGTCGAGGTAGAGGATGACAAGATGGGGGAGCAGGAGACGAGGTGGATGGAAGGTGGCTTTGGAGATGAAGGGTAGGCCAGCCTATATTTGGTATGGGTACGGTTGTATGGGGCCCTTGTAGGAGATGATTGATGATCGACGCGACGAGAGAGACGAGAGAGACAAGAGACAAGAGAATGAGAGTGCACGCTACGCAATGTTCAATGAACGACCGGCAGGATTATCTCCAAGAATGTGACAAGTTGAGATAGATTGCACGCACAGGACGTGTAGAGGGTGCGTAGATCAATGGCAGCTGAAGAAAGGAGGTTGGCCGGTCCTGGTGAAAACAGAACTGGACAACTTTTTGAGATTCCAACAGTCGTGGACGTGGACGTGGACAGGGGCACCAAGGCAAAAACGTCGGGTGAGAGCATGGCCATTTGGAGGAACGGGCCCCCTGATGCTTTTGGCCGCTGCAGAGGTAAGGTACCTCAGTGCTGTGCGTGAGGTGGTAGCGTTCCACCGTACCTTACCTAAGGTAAAGTATCTTCCAGGTCATGCCCGTCCACCTTACCTTACTATGTAAGGAAGTGATGCTGTAGTAGGGGGTTAATCTGGAGTGCCCGCCTACTTCAATCAGGCTGCTTTATTCCACCCCCTACCTACTGTTTTCCAACCTCGAATTCGCTATTAAGAGTTTCCTTTGACATCTGCACTGGGCGGACGGGAAGGGGATGGTCCGGTCGCCGGGGGCCAGTAGCTAAACCATCTCGTCATGGTGGAATTTATAGTGTAAAGCATCCGACCTGATTGTCCATCCACTTGCTGATAACTCAACCCAAATCAAGCTCCGACCACGGCGTCTCGCTGCCTTTTGTGACATCCAGCCCCTTCATTGGCGACAATCGACGAACCTGAGGAGCCCAATCTTTGAAAGGCTTCCGCAATGAGCACCCGAGTTAGCATCATGATTGGTACTGGGTGAAGTCAAACATAAAAAAGGCAAGATACAGATGCCCAGACACTCGCAGATTGAAACTCTGGTTATGCATGTCGTCAATTCGACGTGGCAGCTCGACATTGCTTGATAGAAGAAGCGCTTGGGGAATGTCATGATAATGAATGCCCAAAGCATCAACGTCCGTTCCATTGAAAGGTCTAATCTCTTCCCTTGGACGAGTCTCGGTTTTCCTAATTGTATGGCTAGTTTTCGACTTTCCTCTGAACTGGGCCAGCCTGGTGTGGCATTTCCAGCGGCAGTGAAACGCCACATGAGCCGCGATTTCTGGCTCACTGACTACCAACAAAGACGAAACAGCCGTCCCTCTCGGGTCTTGAGCTTCTCCAGCTAGCTCAGGGACGCCACGCCTAGCACCAGCTGTCCTTATCGTGCTTGTGTTGGCGCCTGGCAAGTGTGCAGGAAGTCCAAGGCAAGCCATGCTGAAAGTTTTCGTCCCAAGCTACAGAGCCGGAAACCACAGAGTAGTTACCCGCAGCCTCACCCATCAGTCAACCAGCGCGAGGTTGTGGTCGATATATTGTAATGGTATGGCAACGGAATTAACAGCGCCCCTTGCTTCTGATTACGTGACTCTATGCTTGCCCTTGCCCTTTGTCGTTCGTCTTCACCCCATCCTAGCCTCCCCTGTAGCCCCTGTCCCCATCCGCTTCGTTCCCAGTGTTGTGAACGCAAATTTTCTCAGCTCCATCCCTATCCCTGGGTCTCCGCGCCCGCACTTACGGTAACACTATTTCCCCGTCATGCTTTGTGATTTCAATGTAAAAGGCCACCGGTTGGACGTCAGTAGCCTACAACAACCGGCAGCTATCTGATCAATGAGAGGTCACCATTCCGTGTCCTCTTCTCTTCCCATTCTGCCCTGGAGGTTCGACAGTGACTTTTTGCCGAGGAGGCAACATTAGCCATTTACTAATCCTCTGCGTGGGTCATAAACGGTTCCTCCTCATAACAAAAATCTTCTTCATCCTGAATAGTTCGAGGGGAAAGGGGGAAGGGGGTGGCGAGCTCATACGTCGTGGTGGCTACCACCGGCCCCCAAGGCCCGGGCTTGGATCCGCTGCATCAACACAATTTCGGAGCTGGCCTGGCCCCCTTTGCCAATTATCGCATCTGATAGGGTCCACCCTCACCGCCTTGTTCATCCGCTTTCCCACAGCGGCAGTGCGCATAACTAGTTGGTGACTGTAGTGTTGCAATTAGTATCAGGGGGGGGGGGGCTTACATTGCATGGCCATGTATATATGCATTGTGGCTCTGGGGCCAACTACCTGGTCGACCAGCTCACAAACACGTCACGGATAATAAGGTAGGAGGGGACGCGTTCAGTGTCTTTTCGGATGCTCGTCCCATTCTGTGTTACTCTACCCCATGGTTTTTTCTCCCAGCCGTACCTTTCTTGATGTCACGAACAGCTTTTATATGCCTTCAAGCTGATATGAAACCCGGTACTCACTTACCCATAGTGTCCAGACACCATACCGACATGTTGAAATGCTGTCTTGAGTCGTTGAAAGCCGTTTTTACGAACCCAGAATCTTCATCACAAACGCCTTACCAATGCCATAATTTCTTCATACGTCTAGTACAAGACGCGGGTCATGATGCGCGCTGTATACGTATGTAAGTAACTTGTCATCTCCCTACCACAAATTCGAATTTCCACTCACAGCTCAGGGAATCCAGACCGTCGTTGATCTCCTTGATGTCTTCGGCCTTGACGCTGCTCACATCGGCCATGAGGTACGCAATCTAGCCTACGTGAGTGGCCCTGCTTTCACTATCAACGTCATAGGGAACTTACATCGCCTTTGCTGTCGGAGATCTGCTTGTCAACATTGTGGTTGCCAAGAATCTCGTTGACTTCCGTCCATTAGCACTTGATGAACACCCAATTAGTACGAATCACAGTCACTATCTCACCTCTGCGTAATACACCAGGAACGTTGCGGTGGATATAGATGACCTTGGTTCCTTTGTCAGCTCTCTGTTTTTGTCCGCCTGGCGCCAAGTGGTGCTTACACGAGCGTGGTCAGGCTCGTCCAGAGTCAATGATCTTAGGTTAACCTCGGGCAGGTTAACACTGTTGAGGGTGATGCCCTGATTGATATAGCGAACAAGTGCCTCGGCGACTGCTTGCAGATTAGTTATGGTACTTATCCAAGCTTACAGGTCTGTTCCTTGCCTTCGACACCAATAGCACGTTGGGCTTCCTCAGTGCTGCCACCGATGTGTGGCGTCAAAATGATGTTATTGAGGCTGCGCAGGTCCTCGCCCCATGTGTTGAGCGAGCTATTAAAGTAGTCGCCGTTGGCCGCCGGCTCGTTTGGGTAGACGTCAAGAGCGGCACCGGCGATCTTGCCAGAGCGCATGGCGTTAATCAGAGCTTGGATGTCGACGACACTACCACGGCTGGCGTTGATCAAATAAGCGCCGGTCTTCATCTTCTCGAGCTGAGCAGTGGAGATAAGGTTCTTGGTCTCTGGCAGCTCAGGCACGTGCAGGGTGACGAAGTCGGCCTCCTCTAGCAAGGCTTCCAAGGTGGGCACTTGGGCAGAGGTTCCCAAGGCCATCAGGTTCACGACATCGTAATAGACAACATTCATACCCATAGCCTCGGCCAGGACGGAAAGTTGCGAGCCGATGTGACCATAGCCCACGATGCCTGATGTACAGTCAGCAAATGACGATGCCTCCACACCAATTGGCGATACAAGCGCCGGGCAGGGCAAGATCACGTACCAAGAGTCTTGCCACGGATTTCCCAGCACTTGGAACTAACTTTGTTCCAGGTGCCGCGATGCATCTCGCTAGAGCGGTCACCCAGCTGACGGGCCAGAGTAATGATCTCGGCAATGACAAGCTCTGCAACACTGCGCGAGTTGGCAAAGGGGGAGTTGAAGACAGCAATACCGTGAGCGGCGGCATATTCGAGGTTGACCTGATTGGTGCCGATGCAGAAACAGCCAATGACGAGCAGGTTCTTGGCCTCACGCAGGACCTTCTCGGTCAACTTGGTCTTGGAGCGAATGCCAATGACATGCACGTCCCTGGAGAATCACATTGCATGAGTATGGGACGTCTTGTCACTTTCTTCATCAGACTACAATGCGAGGGAGAGGCCTACCGAATCTTCTCGATGAGCTGATCTTCAGGAAGAGAGGTCTTGAGTGCCTCAACCTGGTAACCTTGCTCGGTCAAGATATCCTTGCCCGTCTGGTTGACATTCTCGAGGAGCAAAATCTTGATGTCCTGGGTGTTGAAGGGCTTTAGGAGCTTGGGAGCCGGCCTCCGGGCCAGAGCAGCACCGGTTCCAGCAAAACTTGAGGGGGGAGAATTGAAAGTGGCGGTTGGCGAAGTTGAAAGTCCCAGGCTGGCGGAGACTTCGAGCTGTCTTCCCTGGGAAAATGCGCCAGCAATGTCTTGTGCTGAGCTCATTATGTGCGGTTTGTTTCGGTTTTGGCAAGTGAGCAAGTTCGAGGGGATGGATAGAGGGGCAACACGATTTTTTGATGCGGGGCAACAGAAACACGAGACGGTGGTTCGAGCAAGAGCGGCCCGGCTGTTGGGTGTGAATACGAAGAGAGAGAGAGAGAGAGGGAGGGAGGGAGGGGCGCCGAGCGGTATGTGGCGAAGGGCTAGAAGAGCAGGGAAACAGGGACAAGCAAAGAAATGTTGTTGAGGCAATACGTGACGATGTTTCTGGGAGAGGGAAGCTTTTAAGCACCTCACGTCAAGTACATTTAGTCAAAATGACGCGGGATGTGAGACGGGAGGGCTGTGACTGATGTAAAATAAGGTACTGCGCTTTGTGAACGGTGAGGTACTTGATGACTGTACGCATCTTATCGCATGTATCTTTGCTATGTCTAGGCACGACAAAGATACCTCGCAATGCCCTCCTGGTAAGGTGGTTGACGTTGCCTTCTGCTGCCCGCCAGTGGGGGTGCCACATAGGGAAGGATCCAGCGAGACAGACCCCGATGTTGTGGGCTTGTGGCCCGGGATTCTGCCGCCGGAAATGGACACTGTCTCAACACGGTGCGGAGTCGGGTAGTAGACAGCAGAAGTCGACCAAATGGAACGAATTCGTGCACGAGTAAAGGTATCTGCCCTTGCCCACACAGTGAACAAAGTCCGACTTTGCCAACGGAGCAGCCCCGAAGGCCGGCACCATCCCCCTAGGACCCGGCACTCGGTCGCAGGCCCTCCAGAGCCTACCTAAGACCTTTCCACCTAACCTACCTTACTTACTTAGTCCAGCTAAGCATGCCTCCGGGGCAGTTTGGGGTTGAGTCACCGTAGCTGGAGAGTTTTTTTCAACCAATTTCCCCGACGCCGGGAGGCACATCGCACAACGAGCGTGGGTCGTGACTTGTTTGAAGGTTTGACAGACGCATTAATTACGACTTGATTTAATATGTGCTTTGGCTTTTTGCTGTGATTATTGTACTTACCCCAGCAAAATCCACTAACCTGACCAGAGTGCCGATTCCGGACCACATTACGACCGCCGCGAAATCAACAACACATCAAGTAATTCCACCGTTAGTTGCCGCAACGCGAAAAACTGCTTTGCTTCCTAAGGTATCTACCTACCTGCCTACCTAGATTGGCACTGACTTGAGCGCCTCGGATTTCTCAATCCCCTTCCCATGTACATTTGACTGTTACTCATTCTCGTGAAACAAAAGCACGGAATTTGGGCTACGCAGGCTTCTTTCGTTTACTGTTGTCAAGTCATGTCGCAAGCACGCAAGCACGCAACTGACAACCTACCTCGTAGAAACACGCCAAATTAATGCACCTCCGAAAGTGACTAGTTCAACGGCCGCTCCGACCCTTTAGATGTCCGCATGTTCCGCTGCGTCCGCCACCGACCCCCCGACATCCAATGGAGCTTCCATATTGGTCGCAGCCGCTGAAATCCAAGCTGACATACCGACAATGAAGTGCGATCCTTGGGTAGGCTATGCTCCTGAATCAACCTATATAACAATGTAGACTTTCCCGTTGCCGGAGACATTGCGATAGCCCGAACACTACGCTGTTGCCAATTTCGCGCAGTGCCGAGCTGGAAATTTCAGTGAGCCGTCCCAGGTACGATAACATGGGCACCAAATCCCTCCGCTTTGGAGATGCAATCATGAGGAAGGGTTGCTTGTTTGACTTGTTTCCTGTCTATTGCTTCCATTGTTGATGCCCGTACCCGTCTTACATGAAGGAAAATTCGAATGAACACCCTTTCTACAAATCCATTTTAGCACCAACGTGTAGCATATTCATGACCAAAACGTAAGATAGCCGTATTGTCGGGGATATCCGAGACCGAAACGTCAATTACCATCTATTAAGCAAGGAGCTCGTCCATTGAATGCTGCTCTGCTTGGCTTAACCTTAACTCGTGTTGTCGACATGGCGCGAAGCGTAACCTCGCAGCCTTTCGTGGCGCGAAAGAACCAGAGTATGACTATCACGCATCCCCCCAAATCCAGATTGTTATGAACGCGAAAAACCTAGCCTTTCAGTGACCAACATTTGTCGCTCAGCTCTGCTTGCATTCAGCCGCCTCCTGCTTGGGCTTGCCGGTGTCGTCCTGAGACATGGATTAGTATTAGCGTCCGCAAAAATTCTGGGTCACGCGTTACTTACGTCGTCCTCAGACTCCTCATCATCGTCGCGGTCCTCGCTAAGATCATCTTCGTCCTCGTCGTCTTCGTCATCGTAGTCGCCTTCCAAGTCATCGTCGTCGAGTTCCTCAAAGGCCAAGGCTTCGCCGGTGAACCAGTCAATTGCACGGGGAATGAGCTTCTCTTTGATATCCTCGCCGAGCTGGTAGTCAAGCTCGAGGCGTTCCTCAATGTCGGAGGCGGCGTCATCGTCCTCGTCGGTAGGGGCCTGAGGAGGAGAGAAAAAGTTGAAGAACGACTCGGTGGGCACAGTCTTCTTGACAATCCGGGTCTGCTTGGTGTCTGTTTGAGGAGTTAGCGGCAGCATCTCGACGGGCTGTAACTCATGTAAAGCTCACTCTTGTTTCTTTGCTTCTTGCTCTCAACTCTGACCGTTAAATCTTTTCCCTCCTTCCACTCGATCCTGTCACCCTCAGCGTGGTCGTAGATGAAGTCACCACCATAACCGCTTTCACTTTGGTAGAAGTAGGTCTTGGTGACGGTCTTGTTAGTGAAAAAGTCGTTCTCGGCAAATTCGAAAATGAGGCGGAAGCCGGGCTTGTCAAGGTACTCCATGCGGATGTCGATGAGGTGCTTGAGAGCGGCCTCATCCCGATCGGTAATCATCTCGGCGAGAGAGATTTGGTTCTTCATGGCAGACAGCCAGAACTCGGGAATACCAGAAACCGGCTCAGATGAATCAGCAGCCTTCTCGGCCTTCTCAGCCTCCTCCGTCTCCTCAGCCTCCTCGTCCTCCTCCTCCTCGCCGGCTTTGATCTCCTCCTCGGTAGGCTCAGAAGCACCGTTAACAACTTTGGCACGCTTCTCGTAAAGAGGGGTGAATTTTGCGAAGTACTTCTTCTCGAGCTGAAGAACCTCCTCTTGGAACTCGGCCTCGAGCTTCGAGTGTTCCTTCTGGATACCCTTGAGGCCGGCAACACGGCGACGCACCTGTGGAGGCAGCGACTCGATGTATCCGGAGGATCGGCCAACGAGAGAACCAAGTCTTCCTTGGATCATCTGGACGAGCTTGGGGTTCTGAGCAAAGATGGAGGCGGCAGCAGCACGGTCGAGGTCCTCTGTAAGTTTTGTGAATGTCAGTAACGCGTCCATAGAGGAGTACGTCGAAAGGTGGGAGCTAGCGCGTGCGCGAGAGGGATAAGAGAGGAAGAGGGGCTACTAGCACATACCTTCCTTGATGCTGGCAACGCCAGGCTGCTGGGCATGCGACGAAATAGGCGCATTTTGCAAGGGGGTGTTTTGCGGCGTGCTGGATATTCGGGAGTAGATGTCAGTCATCGTGATCATGGTATGGGGCAAGGGAAGCAAAAGGAAGCGACCCCTCGCCACCGGACAGAACAGTGCCGCAGGATTTGTGACTTACGGCGCGGTGGCCGGGTCGAGGCGCTTGTTGCGGATAGGCTCAGCCATTATGTGCGATCGAATCTTTGGGTTGTGCGTACTCGATGATAGAGCGAAGCCACGAAAGACTTGGGACGGAGAAGTCCCAGGCTGGTTCGGAAAGGGTTGAGGTTGATGGAGTTGACAGGGCAGAGAGCAGGTGCCGAGTGTGGGAAGTTGTAGATGCGCAGTTGACTTTATTTTGGTGGGGGGGGAGGCAAAGTGTGGTAGGTATTGAAAAAAAAAATTGGGCGAGAGGCTTTCTCCTCCGTTGGGGCGGGTACCTCGAGTAGACGCCTAGGCTCCTCCTACGATTAGGCGGACATAGCGGGCACAGCGGGTAGGGGCTGCCAATGAATTCCATCCCGGCGACCTCAGAACAACCTGAGCCCAGGGAGCCGAACAGCACCTTCCATGCCATTGGACCTCATAAAGTAGGTACCCAAGGCACCAGACCTTATGTACCTTAGGTAGGTAGTTAGTCGTTGAGGTACGCATCACAGGGCTCTCTACCTACCTAGGTAGGCCACACCTTGGGTACGTGTTTAGGACGTCAGGTGCTTAGGTATCCAAGCCCCCACCTGAACAGAAGCATCAACATCGACCTTCGGTATCTACATACTTAAGGCTTCTGAAATCCTCTTTATCACAAGGTATACCTGCTTCATGATCGCACAAAGGCTAATAGACAAGTAATTAGTGATCTCTTTCAAGGTCTGCCAGCCAACATTAATCACGTAAATATCGACCTAGGCAACCTATGTGAGGTAGGCATTGATTCCCTAGGTAACCTAATAGTAAGGTACAGCACACGGCCAAGTAGCGAGGTGTGCCCTGGGAGTGGAGTGGGTTGCGATGGGGGCCCGCTGGGGCTGCCTGAGTGCACCCCCTTGCGCAACCTGGTGGTCCATTTCCTGGGTGCCTTGGATAATCACGTCAGGAGATGGCTCCAGTACCTCATGCGCGCCCAGAGCATTGCTGGACAACGTTGAAATAATGACTGCCCCGGATAGGAGATTTGATCCTAATTACTTTATGAGGAATATAAAACCAGTACTTTCCATTCCTGGAGACGCTTCGCTTTGGACCTTTTTAGGCCTCTCTTTCTTTACGTAACTTGGGTACGTAAGTAGGCAGGTACCCAGTAACCCATTCCGTTGGTTTGTGTACCCCCAAGGTGTTTATCGGCATTTACCGAGGACTGCTTACCTAACATTCGACGAGGCAGCCCCCCTCCTTTCCCCTCACTCCCTATCTGATACCTTTCTCAGTTTTGCCTATGTACCTTGGGTATCCGTCTAATCGGTGGCCTCGCCGCCTACTTGAGGTAAGGTGTTGGTGAAGCAGACGGATCTGCTAGCGGGAGGACGATAGGCATAATAAAGGATTTGTTCTACCGATGATACCCCGACTTAACTTTTGCCTTGTGTGCCTCTCCGTACAGGCTTCCATCAGATGGCACACTAGGTACCTGTCACACCTGCCTACCCTCCATTACCTTAGCATGCGACTTTGGTTCTCTTTCAGTGGCTTCGTACCTTAACAGGTCGGGTGCTTCTTATTCAGCCTGGACGGACGACCCTTTTGTGCCTCTCGGTTCGGATACATAGGTACTCTGTTGATGTCTTAGCTACCTTATCCTGTACCTGCCTGCCTACGAACAGGTCAGCCACTCCACCCGACCTGGTCAGTCACCTTTTGATCCCTGACACCATGGAATGTTGCCTCCGTGCCAACTGTACTTGCCTTGCCTCTTCTTGAAGCGCTTAGTACGCGATAAGCAGCATCCCATCTGCATAATTTAACGAGACAGCTCCGGGTATCTGGGTTTTCGGTGCCCTTAGGTGAGCTCGAGCTAGATATTCAGCCACCGACCTAGCGCTCATCCAACTTCGCGACAAGGCGCCGGTCGGACACCCATCTTGAGTTTCTCCGACCTGCCGATCGACCCCCAACTCCTAAATCGCGTCGCATCGCATCACATCACAGCTTCCTCGAGCTTCTTCAAGCTTAGATACCCGCGACCAAAACAAGACTCTTGACTTACGGTCATGGGCATTTCTCGCCACACCCACAAAACCATTCCTCCCAAGACGAACTTCGTTTCGGCAGTTCAGCCACCCTTTCTACCTCGCGTCTCTCGAGCTGGAAGCTTCGATACCGTTGCGGCGACTAGATCGCCCTGAAGAAAACGCAGATATGTCTGTGCCTGGAGAAAACGGGCATCATCGTGCCTCGTCTACATCAAGGAATGGCCACGCACCGTTGTATCGGCTCGACTCGAACCAGAGTTCCACGAGCATCTTTGAGGAGGTGGAAATGGCCCATGACGAGGTCAGATAAATCCGGATTCCGTTTCCAATTGCGCATTGAGTCTGATCACAATGTCCATAGCTCTTCTCTGGTCCTATAGCCGAAAGTCTTCCCACCAGCGTTTCAGCCTTCTCCCATCGACGGCCTCGTGCTGACTCTACGACGAGTTTTACATACTACCACGATGAGCCCGAAGCCTCCCCTACCTCATTCGATGATGAACGCCAAAGCTTGTCCGATGTGGGGGATTTTACCTTTGGTGATGAGGACGAAAGCTATGCTGATATCGAAAATGGCGACACTAATGACGATTACATGACCCACCACAGGCGGTCGTCGACGCACTCGAGATCTTCCGTCCACGCCCGTTTACTGCGCCAAGATAGTGGCATGACCAACAAGAGCCTTGGTGGGGATCGTCTGAGCCAGAAGATCTATATGATGAATGAAGACCTTACCATTGCCATTGCTGGTTTTCGGACGAGTCGTTCTGGCTTCGTTGCGTACGCCGCATTATGCCTATGTACTGCTGGCATTGCCTGGCTGCTACTTAGATGGTTTCCTAGATGGCAAGTGAAACTTCTAGGTCTACCATCCCCATTAGCCGAGTGTGACTGGGTCGTTATCGAGGTAAGTTGTGCGTTCTCCTTACTTTCAAGACATGAACTAACTTTGTCTAGAATCAATGGGGAGAATTCGTCGTGATGGACGTGGATAAGAAACTCTACGGCAGACCCATGTCTACTATCTTTGGCTCCAGTGGAAAGAGCTACGTTGCGGATGACGATTATGATCCCATCATCACCGAATTGCGCATGCTCAACTATCGTTACGTTCGCTTATATTTCAACCAGCAAAAAGACAAGTTTGTCATGTTCAACGGCTGGGTTGATCCAAATTGGGCCGATCCTCGCGCCGTACGTGTCGGCATAGACAGTGACGAGAAGGGACTGCGAGCAGTTGTTTTTGGAAACAATCTCATCGACATTGAGCAAAAAACAATCCCGCAGTTGCTCGTAGATGAGGTAGGACAACGTCCGTTGTGCTGGGCCGAGATGCTAATGGGTTCAGGTTTTCCATCCTTTTTATGTCTTCCAAATTGCTAGCCTCATTCTATGGTCTCTTGACGAATATTATTATTACGCCGTGGCTATCTTCCTGATGTCATTCGGAAGTATCGCAACCACTCTCATAGAAACCAAGGCAGTAAGTCGAACAACGTCTTAAGCTCGACTATCAGCCGGACACTAATACTGATAGACAATGAAACGACTCCGCGAGATTTCTCGCTTCGAGTGCGATGTGCGTGTCCTTCGAAACGGGTTCTGTAAGGACTGAGCCGCCGTGTCAACTCTACTAGGAATTCTGACAGACATAGGGCGATTTGTGTCTTCGAGCGAGCTCGTACCTGGCGACGTGTACGAGGTCAGCGACCCGAATCTGACTCAGTTTCCAAGTGATGGCTTGCTTCTGAGCGGCGACTGCATTGTTAACGAGAGCATGCTTACTGGTAAGTACCGCTGCCACTACGCCTATTACATCCGCTTGGGCGACAAGTACTCACATCTACTTAGGTGAATCGGTGCCTGTATCAAAAACACCAGCCAGTAATGAGACGATGCATAATCTCGATTTGGCTGCGCCAACTGTCTCGCCCGAAATTGGCAAGCACTTCCTCTTCTGTGGTACCAAGATCATCCGCGCCCGGCGGCCGCAGGAAGAACGCGACGGAGACGCTGTCGCCCTCGCACTCGTGGTCAGAACGGGATTCAGCACTACGAAGGGATCTCTTGTACGGTCCATGCTCTTCCCCAAACCATCTGGCTTCAAATTTTACAGAGACTCTTTCCGGTATATCAGTGTCATGGCTATCGTGGCGATGATTGGTTTCATCGCTTCTCTATTCAATTTCCTGCGGCTGCACCTTGCCTGGCATCTCATCGTCGTCCGTGCCCTCGATCTCATCACCATCGTGGTGCCGCCAGCGCTACCTGCGACACTCACCATTGGGACGAATTTTGCGCTTAGTAGACTGAAAAAAAAACAAATCTTTTGTATCAGTCCACAGCGTGTCAACGTAGGTGGAAAAATCGACATCATGTGCTTTGACAAGACTGGCACTTTGACCGAGGACGGTTTGGACATACTCGGCGTTCGAGTTGTATCACCGGCGACAGGCAGATTCACGGATGTGCTTACGGATCCGTTATCATTCATACAGGACCATGCCGGCGGTTCAGCCCAAACGTCAAAATTGAAAGCGGCCTTGTTCACCATGGCAACTTGCCATTCGTTGAGGTCTGTCGACGACGAGCTGATGGGGGACCCACTTGACCTAAAAATGTTTGAGTTCACAAGATGGTCTTTTGAAGAAGGCAAACAGAGCCCCAATGAGGTGGACGACCAAGATCAGGGGAGCCTCTCGCCGTCAGTCGCCAGACCTCCAGCTGAGCACAATGATCTCTTGCGTGGCGCCACCCATCAGGGAGACCAATCGGTAGGCTGCGTAACCCTTTGAGAAGAGCTAGACTAATTCACTTGACCAGCAACCGCTTGAACTGGGAGTCCTAAGGTCTTTTGAATTCGTTTCGCAGCTTCGCAGAGCAAGTGTCATAGTCCGACAATTCGGACGGCAAAGTGGAGACATATATGTAAAGGGGGCTCCTGAATGCATGCGAGAGATATGTCGCGAAGACAGCTGTAAGTGGTCCATTGCTATCAAACAGATACCCCCCCCAAAAAAAGAAAAGAGAAAAATTGCAACAAAAACCACTACTAACCTTGGCTCCTCTCTTGACAATGCAGTCCCAGTCGACTACGATGATCAGCTTGCCTACTATACGCACAAGGGTTATCGCGTCATTGGCTGTGCAGCTCGCCATATTCCCAAACTCAGCTGGGTCAAAGCACAGAAGATGAAGCGACACGAGGCTGAGTCTCAGTTGGAATTCACTGGCTTCATCATTTTCGAGAACAAGCTCAAGGTCACCACAGCTCCTGTGCTAAAGGAGCTGTTGGAGTCGAACATCAGCACGACTATGGTGACAGGTGACAATATCTTGACTGCCATCAGCGTGGCTCGCGAATGCAACTTGATCAGTAGGACGGCGCATTGCTTTGTTCCGAGATTCATAGAAGGTAAAGCGGTGGACATTGAGGTATTTGACTGGTTCTGACAAGAAGCAGGCAACGCCGGTGATCCAAAGGCTCGGTTGCAGTGGGAGAGCATTGACAACGGTGGCTTTCAACTGAACGAACAGACTCTTCTGGCAAGTTCATCTCTATTTTGACGAAATTGTCACAACAGCTAATTTCATCGCACAGCCACTGCCACCTCCGGCTGACGTCGACGCATCATTGGCATATAATATCAACGACATCCGTAATTACTCACTGGCAGTTAGTGGTGAGGTGTTTCGCTGGATTGTGGACTTCGCGCCCCCCTTGGTCCTGCAGAGAGTACGTCCCTGCGCTGAGGATACTCCGTGATTGCCTTTGCTTACAAATTCAGATGCTTGTCCGTGGTCGAGTGTTCGCTCGTATGTCTCCAGATGAGAAACACGAGCTGGTCGAGAAACTGCAAGCGATCGGGTACTGCTGTGGATTCTGTGGTGACGGTGCGAACGATTGCGGCGCTCTGAAGGCTGCAGATGTTGGCATCTCCCTCTCGGAGGCGGAAGCTTCCGTCGCAGCTCCGTTCACGTCACGCGTCTTCGACATTGGTTGCGTTCCCCAGGTTATCCGGTAAATGAGACCACTTGCCACTATGGAGTCTTTTTCTGACATCCGTCTCTAGCGAGGGTCGTGCCGCACTTGTCACAAGTTTCAGTTGCTTCAAGTACATGAGTCTGTACTCGGCCATCCAGTTCACGTCTGTCAGCTTCCTCTATGCCACAGCTTCTAACCTTGGCGACTTTCAAGTGAGTCTGCATGGCCAGCCAACCCCC